TTCTACAAAAATCAATTATCGCCTCTAGGGCCCTGGAAGTACAGTTTTACCGAAACTACACGTTATTTTTTGCTACACACGTAATTATGCTCACATAGGTGTATATAAAGTCAACTTAAATTTTACCATAGAAATAATTTGGATATAACAACAACTATGTAGGTTAATACCTACATCCCTAGGTGGAGTATTTTTTTATGTTTATGTTTATGCAGGCAAACGAACTCATGGATACATGCAGCACCAAGCTTACCACTGGTTGTCGTTGGTTGTACCGTCTAAACAATGGAGAGTGTTCCAAGGAATTATTCAATTTGGTGCCAGCGGCCAAGTTCCTTCACCAGACCACACAGCTCAGAGTAGCGATGGGTAGACCGCGAGCGAGTTGTTAAAACGAGGTAGCGCACCTATTTTAGCTTAGGGCTGCCATCTCTAAAATGTGGCAACCAGGACAAGACGCGTGATAACCCCGGATTTTGGAGCCCAGAACCCGGACAGACCAATAAAAAACAGTTAAAAATGTCACAAATCAACTTTTTATGTTGATGTTGATGATTTATGTGAAAGTAACACCCGGTATTTAGGCTTGAGGTACTAACTAGATTTACTTACTACAAGCTGTTTCACACACTCTTGTGTCTTTTCTGGGTTAATCCAATCAAATTTTGTTGGCTCCAATTTGAGACTTGATCCAGTAACATCTGAATCTCGGACACAAGTCTGTCTTTATACCCTTCTTCTTCCATCAGAGGCATGTTTGACTGACCAGTGTAAAAAGTGTCAGTGCTGATATCCACATAGCAACGAATGCTGTTATTGTGTACAGCGTGAGCAACGGAGCTGATGTTTGAGAGAGAAAAGATTTATTTATATTCAAAGACATTTAAATTGACGGATTAATTGGCGACTCAAAACAGGAAATTTTTAAACCCGGACTACAAATGAAACCCCGCCCGGACGCTCCCCGGACGTCCCGTAAACTAGGACAAATCCGGGGAAACCTGGACGGATGGCAGCCCTATTTTAGCTCAAAGTACATCTAGCTCAGACTCGTTCAATTTCGCGGCACATTTAAAGTATCGATGTTTATTTTCGACCCAGCGTCTAGACATCGTATTGGTAAATATAATGACTTCGAATATAGATCGTTGCAAAAATGACTCGTTTGTGCTTATATTACCTTTTTTCATCGCGGTGCTAAAAATCTGGACGGCGTTGGCATTCTTGCACCACGCGTTAAGGACGTTCTTTTTTCTTGCGTACCAGCAAGATTTGTAAAGAACTTCCCTTAGCAATTTTTCCCTCTTTTGATATGACAGTCTTCAAAAAGCAGGTAAACCTTTTCCCTCAGAGTCGGCAATGCATGAGAGGTACCCTTGGTGCTGCAAGTGTCCATGGGCGGCAGTGACCACTTATCATCAGGTGGACTGTCAGTTCGTTTGCTTGCATAAACATAAAAAATTGGTGCGCAGCAGTCTCTCGTGTAATCAATGGACGATCGTGTTTGAAAAAACAAAAAAAAAACAAACTATTATTGAACAACAACTCAGGGAAATTACTTTGATAAAGTTCAAAATTTTGTAAAAGCCTTGATGGCATTGGGCACATTTGCCATGAGAATACTATTCTTATTTTCAAGTCATAAAGGCGTTTTATCATGACAATGAAATGTTAATGTAACAACTGCGTTGACTTCTCACACAACCTACACATAATAGGATTAAAATTATCATCAACTTCAAATATTCGCGATGTCGTATCAGTACTTAAATTTTGATTTAATTATTTGATTGACGATTTTGGGATTTATTTACATTAGGTATTCTGATAAGTATGATGTTTATATAATGGAATGTAAGGGGGCGTACTTTGTCACCAACGTGCTCCAAGCTAACCTCTCCTGCTCGTGGTACAACCTGCTAGCCAACGAACTAGGCTCTGGCGACCGATAAATGGCTGTATATCCATTAAGAAATGGCGTGGCTAAGTGACGGGGAGCAGCGTCACTAGTACAAAAAGCTAAGCTCTGCGATCACCAATCCACATGCCCAGCGTGGTGATTTTTGGCAAAGCCAACCATGGCAACATACACAACACTAAGGCCCCCAGTTCCCCCCAGTCTTACTATTCCTAACCAAGTTGTCCGTTATGGTTCTGGCGGGGCAGGGGGTGCGAAGGACCGCGGAAGGGTCTGCGAGGGGAACGCCTAGGCAATCCTTCCGCCGCGGACGGGGAGCGGTGCGGTGGGCAATAGGCCGCGCACTTAGCTCCCAGCGCGGGCAGTCCTGCGCACGTCTGCGGGATCACCCGAGATAGCCTGGGTGATATCTGCCGTGGAGCCCCGGCTAGGCTGTTGGGTGTGGAGACGCGGTGAAGTCCCCCAACGGGGATCTCGCTGTTTCGCACTTAACAGCGTAGAGGGTATTCGCAAGGGTTTTTAGCGGATAGTATGCCGTAAGCGCTCGTAAGCTGCACGGACTGCTTAACGGCCTCTCCGTTTCGCACCCGTGAGACTTGCGAGAGGCTAGGTGTGAGATCTGTTCGTTGGTATACCCCTTAAGGACGCTAAAGTCTGTAAATAAATGTTTGCCTGCGTAATAAAAAAAGGGGATCCGAATAATAATCGAGCTACGGTAGGCCGCCAAATTCACAACACGCTGAGACACGATGAGCATATTGTGCAGTTGGAGGAGGAAGTACGGTGCATAAAGTATTACATACTTGGTCTGTGTGAAATCTGACGCGAGGGAGAGTATACCATGGCGCTGGAATCGGGCCATATTATGTACTTCAGAGAAGGAAACAAACTTTCCCAGGGTGGTGTCGGTTTTCTGATTCATCGAATACTTGTTGACAGCGTTGCAGAAATGTCTAGTATGTCGACAAGGGTTGCGTACCTTATATTAAAACTAACTTGTAGGTACACTCGCGGAAAGACCCGCTCTGTCACCCATTATGCCATAATCGCTTGCGGTAGCGGCGTAGTAAAAATTCAATCAATGAAATGCTCTCCGTCTTACTTTTGTGCGGCGGCCCGAATTGGCGCTTCCGACGCGAAGGCGTAGTAAAAACTACTGTACAAAACCGTTCAAAACATTTTGTTCGCCAAGTGACAGAGCGCAAAATTCCGCGGTAGTACATTACTACCGTACATACTCCACGGATATCATACAACGGTTTATAACACATTTACGGGGGAAAAGTACCTATATCTAATTTAAGTAATGAAGAAAAAATTCCAATGACAAAATGGCGCGCAAATCCAAGTGGCGCGGATGCTGAAAAATAGAACTACATCTTTAGTCTCGTTTTCTTTTGAGTATTAAAGTGAGGCAAAGGTATAGATTAAAAGCGCTTCCAAGGAGGTTCGACCGAATAAAAAAAAACTGTAAAGGATACGCACGGTGCCAAATATGGAAGCGTGAGGAAAAACGTTTTACCGTTGTTGGCAAAAAAAGATCCGTTTAAGGGATCAGAACTGATACGTTCGGAGTTGTTTGGTGTAGGAGGGTCGAAGGGTATGTCTGCAAGAACAATAAGACAGTGACTATGTTAGGCAAACTGGTACGGAAGAGTGTCTCGGAAGGTGCCACTTTTGAAAAAGCAAAATGTTAAGGCAAGATTAGCATTTGCTTAAAAATATGTACACTGGACAGAACTAGAATGGAAACATGTGCTTTTCTCTGATGAAACAAAAATTAATATGATTAATTCTTAGACGCCCCCCGAACAAAGAAATAGATCCAAAGTATACCAAGAAAGTAGTTAAACATGGGGGCGGGAATATAAATAAAGTTTGGGGCTGTTTCTCAGGACTTGGCGTTGGACCAAATAGTCAGGAAAATAGAAGGCAACATGGATAAATTTCAGTACAAGAATATTTTAGAACAAGACATGCTGCTATATGCCGAGCAAAATTTACCGGTCATTTGGATTTTCCAACAGGATAATGATCCGAAACACACTGCAAAAGTAATAAAAGACTTTTTAAGGAAACCAATCTGTGACAGTTTTGGATTGGCCCCCCGTACAGTCCTGATTTAAACCCAATAGAAAAATTGTGGTACCAGAGGAAGAAGACAGTAGCGACTAAACGGATATCAAAAATCGATCAACTTTACACAGCTTTTAGAGAAGCTTGGAAGCCCATTCCGGTGGAAGCTTGAAAAAAAAAATTGCTTCCATGCCCAAGAGATGTCGTGCTGTCATTTCTGCCAAAGGCCATGCGACTAAATATTGATACGTACCGGAAAGTTTTATAAATGTGGTAGGAATATTGCGTAATAAAGATAATTTCAATAATAACAATATTTTTTTCTAATTCTTCTGAGTACATCTAGTGTTTTTAACCAGCTAGCCAGCTATAAATATCACAAAACGAAAAGCCACAGTATACCTCTCTTTGCTTGACAAAAGTGGCAGTAAAGTTGATGGTGACTAAGTTGCTCCAGTCATTCATTGTACTATTTTTTACACTGACATTACACATATTACTTAGCTTCTGACTTTAGTCACTTATTGTCATGTTCCCATAGTGAGCAGTGTCTAAACTACTAACGGCACAACTATTTTTTGTCCCACATTGTAGGAATACACCGTCGTGTATGGTTTAATAACAATTAAACCGGATTAAATACCAATTTTAGCTAATGTTAGTACCATAAGTAAGTTTTTTTGTGGTTAATTAGGGGGTGTCTTTAATTATGTGACCACCACTGTATATTATGGATTTTCATGCAACTTTTGCTGGCCGCTGCTCGCATGTATGTGGCTAGTACAGCAATTTTAATTTATCTTGAAGAAGGTTGCCAGATAATGCTCAAATTTCCAAGCATGTAAGATAAAATTATACATTTTTGTGTAAAATCTCGCTCATGCACACACTCACACTTCAATGAGTGAGTGACTGCATGAAATGTATCCACCATCAAATTTCATCCCTTCTCGTTCTGGATTGGCTATCACTTCGTAGGCATAGAATTTAATTAGTATTAACTTGGGCTCAATGGCGCAGGTGGATAGCAATGGTCGGTCATTGGATAGGTTGACAAAAAACTTATTATCGCTAAGTCTTCCGTGCTTCGAAAGGCACGATAAGCCGCTAGCCTTAGCTGCATCTGCAGTCGTTAGCACCCACCAATCCGCATTGGGCCCGCGTGGAGGGTCATGGCCCAATCTATTCCATTCATGGGAAAGGCTTGTGCCGCAGCAGTGGAGAAATTAATAGGCTGGTGATTATAATATTGAGATATTAATATTGTCATAACCGTACCCGGTGTAGCTGCGTGATGCTGAAGGAAATGCCAGGAAATATTTTAAAATTTTTAGGAGTCTGATTTTTGGAATTACACCTTGTGCTATTGCTGGTATTTTTATATCATTATAGTTAAGGCCGATAATGTGAAGGTGAAGGCATTCATACTACATAATATTACGTCAAAAGGAAGTCATTTCTTAAGTACCTATTTAAATAAAATCCCTTCAATCGAAGAACAATCAATCAAGGTGACGTTGTACTAATCTTCATACATGTAACGATTTTATCAATATGTATCTGATACATGTTAGTTCATGCCCGCGAATCTGGCTATTTGGATTCCTAATTAATTTTAAGAAATCTAATACGGAGAACTACTTATAGAAGTAATCGCCTTTGGACCAAAGAATATCAATTCACTTTGAACATTTTTGAGATTCATCTATCAAGGACTTTAAAATCATTGTATGTGGGTACGTGATTGTGTGTGTGTGTTTGTAAAGTTTTTTTTTATATATATTGCATTTCTAATGCATTGTCAATGTATCCAGGAATTTTGTATAGCATATATAACTCAACTCACCTATCTAATTCTATCTTGAACATGTACACAAACGTCTCTACACAGGTCATCTGCTAGGCTAGTTTAAGCGAAAGCTTTGAACTTAAGTGGGCATGCATCAAGGTTCTACACTAAGCCCACTTCTTTTTAACGTCACGATGGATTATCTTACAAAAGGATGTCAACGGACTGTACCCTGGAACCTTCTCTATGCTGATGCTCTAATAGCTGAAAATGCCGCTGATCTCCATACGGACTGGAACAACTGTGTGGATGTGCTAGAAGACAACGTCTTAAAAATCAAAAGCCAGAAGATGAAACATGTGTCATGCTTGTTTGACAACAAAACTAGGGCGGATGATATTAAAGTCTATATAGAGCGTGATTGTGTGCCATCAGTCGGTAAATTTAAATATCTTGGCTCCATAATTAGTTGTGATGGGAAAATTGACAAAGATGTAGAACTTTATCAGGCTGGATGAAATGGAGACAGTTCACAGGCGTCCTATGCGATAGGAAAATACTACTAAAGGTGAAAGTTTATAAAACGGCAGTTACACCAGCAATTTTACTGCTCTGAGTGCTTTGCTACCAATAAAGCGCATTTAAATCTGCTGCACACCGCAGAGATGTGCATGTTTCACTGGTCAGGCATCAAATGATGGACAAAATAAAAAAAAAACTGTATGTATGAGGAAGTTGTAAAGTGACCCAATATCTAAATAGTTAACGGAGAAGAAGAAGCATGAAGTGGTTCGGTTATGTAAAATGTCCTGAAGATCACAGGGTGAACGTGGCCGTGAAAGACTACTTTCCACCTGGCTTCACGACAGCCTAAAATGACCTGAAACAACTTAATATAGATCCTGGCCTTGCACTCGATCATGCACAGTGAAGGAAATGTACAGGAAACGCTGACCCCAAGAAAATGGGAAAAAGGTCTAGTGAGAAGATGTTTCTAATACATTATTATAAATATGTGCTCCACTCTTTCGTTAAATATAAAATTTCATTAAGGAAATATCATACATTCCTCCTCCTTTACTAAAAATAAATGAATGACTAAAGCTTGATCTATTGGAAGGATATTTCCCAATTCCGCATGAATTCAACTGGTAAGACTACTGGGAACAGGGAGAAATTCAGCTCGCTCGAAATTTAAACCCGAACTGCTGGGCTCTTGAAGTTAACATTTGTCCTCTATTACATCCATCTAAACGTCTTTTCAGAATCAATATCTCTTCGTATTAAATTCACCAACTTTTTTCAGAGGCGGAGTCGTCAACCAAAGAAACAAACGTACAAAGTGATTATCACAATAATGATATAATAATGGGTTGATTAACATTATCTTGACGTTGAGTATAAATGCCGATGAAATTAAGCAATCAACTAATTACCCATTTTTGTTTTAAAGGGGAATTGTTTAACATAAGTGCGCTTAAGAGAATTACTTAAAAGAAGATACTTTTCTGAAAACTTAACGTAAGTACATTTGGATAAAAGAATATTGGTCAGAATATAATAAAAAAATCTTTAATCGAATCTAGTTCTCAACACCTGATTAAATTTATTTAGTTAAAGAAATATACAGCTTTATAGTTATGATTGTGACCGAGGCGATCTTATTTCTAATAGAAATCTTGATCTGCAAATACAGTTCAGCAGTTCTATTCAGCGAGAACAAACTCACTTTTACCGCGGAAATCGCCAGTTTGACTTAAAATTTATTTGGAATCCGTATTCTAATTTTAAATCACACTATGGAATCCATGTGTTTATACTGTATGATACACCAATCAAGATGTGACGGGACGTTGAATTGGTAGCGACGTGACTTTTTTGGAAATGTTGCTACTTCTGTTAAATGCTGATGAGTTTCTTGAGCCCATTCTTCTTATCAGCTAAAAGATGTCCTGAATGGGTAGGAAAAAATATTGGACGATTCAAAAGAGCTTTGAATAAGTCAATTGAGTAAAGCATAATTTCATTTCATGGTGAAAAGTGAGTTTGTTCTTACAGAATAGCACTGCTGATCCAGACTCACGGGAAATCGAGTCTCTGGGAGTCAAGTGGATTCGCTATTCGACAGTTTTAATTAACGCATATACCTTTTTTAAAGTTTTGAATTACTTTTTATTACTATAAGAGCTTGTGTTAATTGATATCCACTTTCTGTTGTTACAGCTTTAAAACATAGACACGATGAAAGTATTGGGATTCGTGTTAGCCGCTCTTCTGGCGAGCGTGGCAGCCAACAGTGTAGCGGACCAAAGGGCAAATGGTAAGACAAAATAAAATAAATAATAATATTTCAAGTACACGCCTTTGATCAAATTTCAATTATTTTTTGTTTAAAGTCAAAATCATAAATCAACTATTCAGTCTAGGCTGTTACAAGCACTTGTGAAGGTCAAGAAGCTACGACATCGGTTCGCAAAACTCCGGCAGGAGACCTTGTACTGAGAAGAACCGGCAAGAAACTCAGCAAGGGCTGTTTTTCCCCCCTGTATTGTTATATACTCTTTATTGCATCAGATCGTTTAAAACATATAGTCAAATACATAGTAAGCAAAGGTGGGCTTATCTGTAAAAGATATCTCTTCCAGCCAACCTAGGTGGTGTCGGAGATTCAAAACTTAGCGGGAAACAGAAAGTGCAATAAAAATTAAACTAAAAATAATTTATTACTACTGTTATAGGAACTAGACTTAATAAATAATAGTTGTGTATATATATATATATATATATATATATATATATATATATATACACTATACACATTATATAATACATATACCTACATAAATAAACTTGCATAAATATACATAGATAAATACAATACCTATATAAATATACTTAACATACATATAAGCCTGATAAATAAATACTAATAAGAAACAAGATACTTCGTGAGAATGATTCATTAAGTTTGAGATTTCTGTTTGAGAAAATGATCTTTGACTTTAGACTTAAACGAGAAGATGGTCGGAGATTGCTGAATATTGGACGGAAGTTTATTCCACAGCTGTGCAGCCCTAAAAGAAAAGGAATTTAAATAGGAGATTGTATTACTTTTAGGAAGCTCAAGGGTCTTAGTAATGCAAGGTCGTCTAGAGCGTGAAGGAGGGGAAAGAAACTTAAATCGGGAACGCAGGTATACTGGGGAGTTAGGATCTTTGAGAATCTTGAATAAGAAGACAAGCATATGCAAATCTCGGGGAAGACGAATAGGGAGCCATTGAAGTAGAGAGCGATAAGCTGACACATGATCATACTTCCGCAGACCAAATATAAATCGTATGGCTAAATTTTGCAGTCGTTCTAATTTATTGACTAGCTCTTCATTTGCATCAGGATAACAGACATCGACGTAGTCGAGAATTGGAAGGAGTGATTGCGCTAACATAATTTTGGTTTTAAATGGTAAAAAGTATTGGCGTCGCTTAAGAGAGTGGAAAGAGTAATGGATACGCTTACTAACTTCACCAATATGCGGGGACCATGACATGTTACAGTCCATAGTCAAACCAAGGTTTTTAACTTTGTCAGTGTATGGTATTGGAATATTGTTGTAGAGGAGTGGAGGAACAATACTCCAATCCAGTCTACTCCTGAGCCGGCTGCTACCCACAATCATAGCCTGACATTTGCTTGGATTTATTACCAGACCAAACGAAGTTGCCCAGCTTAAAGTAGAGACTAGATCACGATTTAACAAGGCAATAGCATCGCAAACTTCACCTGTTGGAAAGTGTCGGTAGATCTGAAGATCATCAGCATACAAGTGTGTTGTGTATTTTACGTGGGTAATCAGGGATTAATATAATTACGTAGTGCGGGCTGCGCCCCGCGCGTATTCCTGCGATTAAACAGTGTGCAACAGACTAGCGAGTTTGATTGACGTGCTTCCCCTATCTTCATATATTACACGTGGCGACGAGCGAACCCACAATAATACCACAAAATGGCGTCGGGACTATCTTTTGGTGTGCTTTCCACATTTGATCATCTCACACAGGAGTGGAATAGTTACAAATCTCGATTATGTCAGTGGTTCATTGCAAATGACATAACCGCTGAGACCGACAAATCGGCCATTAAAAGAAGAGCGATTCTTTTAACGTCGTTGAGTGAATCGACATTCAAGCTCGCAAGTGACTTGGCGTTACCCGACAAAGTAGAAGAAATAAATTATGAGGCGATCGTAAAACTGCTCGATGATCATTTTACACCTAAAAGGTTCGGGTTTGCGGAGAGATCGTTATTTTATTCTGCATCACAACGTCAAGGGGAAAGTCACACTCAATGGGCAGCCAGGATTAGAGGCCTAGCAGCTCACTGTGCATTCAAAAATTTGGAAGAGGCCTTGCTGGACAAGTTTATTATGGGCATGGCAGCAGGACACGAGCGGGACAAGTTATTCGCGCAGGACCAGCGGGAGCTGACCCTAGCGAAAGCCATCGACCTAGCGGAGAGCGTGCGCTGTGCGCGCCAGGCTTCGTCGCTGGCGGGGCCGGGGCCTGGCGCGAGCGGCCTCGGCGCGAGCCACCCGGACGGCGTGTTCAACATTTCCAAGAGGGAAAAGTGCAGTGTGTGCGGATTTACTAATCATAAAGCTAATCAGTGTCGTTTCAAAAATTATAAATGTAAAAAGTGTTATAATAAAGGTCATTTACGCAAAATGTGCCCTAACGGTTCTAAAGTTAAGTTAGTGAGTGAAGGTACCGAGGACGACGGTGACGACGGTGAGTCATTTTTTAACATTCGATGCGAAAAAGGGCGGCCGATGACGGAGAGCGTGTCTGTCGGTGGGTTGTTTTTGGAGTTCGAAATCGATAGTGGTTCGGCAGTAAGTGTTATATCTGAAAATACATATATATCGAATTTTAAGCAGGTACCGTTATCAACCACCAACAAAAAATTATTTAGTTACACTGGCCAAAAGATCGAAACGATTGGAGTTGTTTTGTTGCCGGTATCGTATAGTGGGCGCACGCGCACATTGGATGTATACGTGGTTCGCGCGGACGGCCCGCCGCTGCTCGGTCGCGATTTTATTCGTAAGTTCGAGTTGGAGCTTGCGCCCGCACCGCTGCCGCCAGCGCCGTCAGGACACGTGCACTCAATATGCGCGGCTGAGCGGCCGACGGCCTTAGAATGCAGTTCTACGATACGTAAACAATTGGTTAGCATGTTTCCTAAGGTTTTCTCAGGTGAACTCGGATCGTTTAATAAGTATACAGTTCATTTACGTTTGAAACCGGATGCAAAACCGGTATTCTTTAAAGCGAGACCAGTTCCGTATGCGCTGCGAGAAAAAATAGACATTGAAATCGATAGATTATTGTCATTGGGTATTATAAAACCGGCTGAATATTCTGAGTATGCTTCACCGATCGTGCCCGTTTTGAAAAAGGATGGTAGCATCCGACTTTGTGCAGATTATTCAGTTACAATTAATAAACAATTAATCGCCGATCAATATCCCTTACCGACGGTTAATGATTTATTAAGCAAATTACACGGGGGCGAACTATTCAGTAAAATTGATTTATCCATGGCATACAATCAATTTGTTCTTGATGAAAGATCACAAAGCTTAACCTGCATCAACACGCACCGCGGCCTCTTTAAATTCACTCGCTTAGTGTTCGGATTGTCGAGCGCACCCGCTATTTTTCAAAGGGCAATGGAATGCCTCTTATCGGGTATCGATGGTATAATATTCCTACTTGACGATATTTTGATCAGCGGGTCCCCAGAAAAGCATAGACAAAGATTAATTGCAGTATTACAACGCTTACACGATGCGGGGTTAACAGTTCAGATGAGTAAGTGCGATTTTTTTAAAAATCAAATTTCCTATCTCGGGCATATTATTGATAAACATGGGGTTAGGAAATCGCCCGACAAAGTTAAAGCCATTCAGCTAGCCCCGAAACCAACAAATGTGTCGCAGTTGCAATCTTTTCTAGGCCTCACTAATTATTACCGGAATTTTGTGCCGAACGCATCGTCTGTATTAAGTCCATTATATAATTTATTAAATAAAAATTCTAAGTGGGAATGGACACCAATGCATGACGAGGCGTTTAATAAAATAAAAAATATATTGGCGTCCGATAAAACACTAGCGCATTTCGACCCGCGGGCAAAGTTGATTTTAACTGTGGATGCCTCGCCGACAGGGCTAGGTGCCGTGTTGTCGCAGGTGGGTTGTGACGGTCAAGAGAGACCAATTTCGTATGCGTCCCGAACGCTGACGCCAGCTGAAAAAGGTTACGCTCAAATTCAAAAAGAAGCAACGGCTATTATTTTCGGGGTTAGGCGGTTCCACCAGTACCTATATGGGCGGGCTGATCCGTTCATACTTCGAACAGATCATAAACCGTTGCTTGTTATATTTGGACCCCATAAGGGCATTCCGGAGGTGTCTGCGAATCGGCTTCAAAGATATGCTATATTCCTCGCAGCTTACAACTATTCAATCGAATATATAAATAGTAAACAAAACAGCGCGGACTATTTATCGCGGGCGTGTGTAAGCAGTGGGGAAGCAGGAGCACGGGACGAGTTCGCGGAGTATGAGGATCGCGCGGCGTATGTTAACTTTCTGGTAGATGGCGACATGCCGGTGACGCTGGTCGACCTGCGCCGCGAGACGGGTCGCGACCCCATTTTGTCAAAAGTTAAAACTTACGTATTGAAGGGTTGGCCAAGAAAAGTAAACGAATTAAATTTAAAACCTTATTTTAACTGTCGCTCTCAACTATCATATGAAAATGGTATATTTATGCGCGGGCATAAGGTTGTTATTCCGTCTACTTTACAAGATCAGCTTTGTAAAGAACTGCATAGTTCCCATTTCGGCATTGTAAAAATGAAGGCGTCGGCTCGAAAGCGGCTGTGGTTTCCGGGCGTAGATGCGGCCCTGGAGCAGCTGGCGGGCGCGTGCGGCGTGTGCGGCCGCCTGCGTCCCGCCCCGCCGCGCGTCCCGCTGGCTGCCTGGCCGCCGCCGCCGCGACCGTTCCATAGGATACATGTCGATTTCTTAGGCCCGATTCATAATCAAATGTTTTTTATTATCGTAGACGCTTACAGCAAATGGGTTGAGTGCTACGATGTCACTTCGAGTTATAGTTCAATGGTGGTAATAAATAAACTATGCGATTTTATGTCACGTTTTGGAATTCCGCACACGTTGGTGAGTGATAACGGTACTTCGTTTACGTCACAAGAATTCGATATTTTTTGCAATTTAAACGGAATTAAACATGTACTGTCCCCTGCGTATCACCCGGCCAGTAACGGACAAGCGGAGAGTTTTGTCAAAATAGTAAAAAATGGACTCAGGGGTATTATTCTAGAGGGAGGCAATAAAAAAAATATGCATAACAGAATTGCAAAATTTTTATTTGACTATAGGAACTCGAAAAACAGTACCACCGACAGATCTCCCGCGGAAATTGTCTTCGGACGCTCCTTGCGTTCGCGGTTGGATTTAATAGACCCGACCAGGCCGTCACCTTCGTCCACGGAACTCATGCAAACCGTCGAATCCAACCAGTTCTTACAGGCTAAATACTATAAAGGAAAAAAAAGAGGGCCGTTCAAAGAAAATGATACTGTATGGATCATTAAAAACATTAATATGAAAAAAATTTGCTGGATTGAGGGAATCATTAAAAAGGAAATCGGTAAAGTAATGTACGTAGTTTACATTCCTCAGCTGAAGTGTGAAGTTAAAAGACACATAAATCAAATAAGACCGAGATGTTTCTCGCCGTCGATCGACGACGAGTACGGTAACTGGGATCCTGACGTCGTCGTGCCGGACACGCCACCCCCGCCGCCGCAGCCCGCGGCCGCCGCTGCCCAGCCGGCGCGGGAGGGAGGAAGTTTGGACCGCGAACCGAGCCAGGAAGCGGCCGAGTTCCCGCCGTCGCCGACGACGCCGCCGTCAATACCAGCTCCGAGACGTCGAGCAATTAGTCCGATTTTCTCTACACCGATAGCCGGTCATAGTGATGATGATACGGAACTTTAAATTAATAATAGGTACCCCTTATTGTTCTCTTAGTTATGTTTATTTATTAAGTACCTTTTGTTCACTTAATTATTTTATAGTTTATTAATATTTCTTAAGCTAACGGGGAGGGTTGTTGTGTATTTTACGTGGGTAATCAGGGATTAATATAATTACGTAGTGCGGGCTGCGCCCCGCGCGTATTCCTGCGATTAAACAGTGTGCAACAGACTAGCGAGTTTGATTGACGTGCTTCCCCTATCTTCATATATTACAAAGTGAAAAGGAGAAGAGATAATAGAAGCGATCTTATTTATGAAGAAGGAGAAGAGTAAAGGAGAGAGAACTCCAGCTTGCGGTACACCTGCCAATACACGTACCCAGTCAGAGCACGAGTCATTATAGACCACTCGTTGGAAACGGTCAAAAAGGTAACTCCGAAACCATTCTACAACTGGAGGAGAAACATAAGCAGACTGAAGAGTCGTCAGAATAAAAAATGACTTCAGAGATACTTCTGGAGTCACCTTCCATTGCATCATTTAGAATATAGATAAGCAGGGTGTTTCATTATGGGTGTCAAGCCAGTGCGAGTTGATAGCGGAGTACCATTGCTATCAATATAACCTCCATGTATGTTCTACGATTTTTCGTAGTTTTCGAGTTAGTTTTTTTTTTCGTTATTTTATAAGTTCAACGATGAGACAACTTTGAAAAGGAATAACTTCTTTTTTGGGTCGATTTTTCTTCGTATTTTTTTTTAACAGAATGCCTATTGCATGTAGTTTTATAAGTAAAATAATCTCCTTCATAACTTTTAATTAAAAGCATAATCACTTACAGGGAAATTAAATCAAATATGCGGGAGCCTTGTGCTTTTTCAGTTGATTTGAAAACCTTCAATGCATTTAACAAATAATTAAGAATAATAAGAATGGCGCTTTTGGAGGAATCACGCTGATCAAATAAAATGCAATATTTACAGAAAGGTTTGTGGAAGGCATCGTAGCTGGTGCCATTGAAGACCTCAGCAACCAGATCAAGGAGCGAGGACTGGACCCTTTCGAAGCGACGGCATCATATTACCAAAGACTTGCAGTTACAGAGTGAGTGCTTTATCGCTTTACGTTTGTTATATTGAAAATAATAAAAAAGATTTCAATAACCCTTAAAATCACTAAGTTTAAAGGTACTTTAACAATATTAAACGTAAGGGCGAACCAGGACCCTGTCTCAGCATTAGCGGATGCAGCATTGTGTCGCACCAGCACTGATATTCTGACAGGGCCTATTTAGAGTGACACAACCAAAATATTTTAAATTAGAAATAAAAAGAAAGAGAAAGAATAAACAGGTCACAAGATTGGTTTATTTTAAAATAATATATTCCATTTTTATGCATTAAACTGCTAGGTTTTTAAATCTTATGAAAATTTTACCAGGAAATGTCCACTCGACTCAGGCACATTAATAAAATAATAATAAATAAATAAATATTTCCAACACTCACACCAATTAGCCTAGCCCCAACGTAAGCACTGTAAGGCTTGTGTTATGGGATGCTAGGGTAACGGATAGAATACATATACTGTACATATATAAGTATATTTTTATAGAAATACATATTAAACATTCATGACTCGAGTAGAAATGCTCGTATTCATCACACAAACATCTGCCCCCACCGGTATGCGAACCCGGGACCTCTCGAGTCGGCGACACCATAAAACTCGGTGTACGAACCACTCGACCACGGAGGTCGTCAAATAGCCAATAAAACTAATAATAAAAACCAAAATCAGTCAAAATATGCCTGTTAAAAACGCAATAAAGTAATGGTCGGGGGAGTCACACAGAACTTGGGAATGATGTGTTCTAAGCTAATTCTAAAATTGTTGTTTTTGGTAAAGCCTCGATTCTGAGTAGAAGTTCTCCTAATTCCATGATTACAAATGTACTAGTATCTAGTTACAATTTACTTTGATTTAAACTTGCTGCAATGCCAGCACATGTGTTTCTTATACTGACACTAGGTATACCGTATTGTGTCAATTACTAAACTACTTTACTACTGAGCTACATCCAGTATTCGTCTATTCCGTTTAGTATCGGTGTATGAGTCGCGGCACGAAATCCAGCGCTGACCGTTATTGCACACAAGTAAAAATGAAGATGTCTTGGGGGGGGAACGAGGTGTGCGGGCGGGCGTGCGTTGCGCCGATTGGCTCTCCAGTCGTACCCATGCGCAGCTATTCCCTTCGCGTTTTGTTCAGCGCTAGAGTTACATGCCGCGACCTGTACTTGCCGAGCACAGGCGACGGGCCTTGACGCTTGTATATAACACTCGCACCTACCCAGACCAATACCCACGTGGATTATTAAAATTTAATTTATTATATTTTATTTCACCAGTCTCGTCGTCATTAAAGCTGAAGTCGAAGATTTTCTTCTCGTCGGCCTGAGCGACATCAGGGTGAACCGTGTCAGCTACAACATTCTTCTCTCCAGGGTTAATTTCGACATTTCTCTGCATAGGATCGCTGCCAGTGTCGGTAAGCATGGATTTATATATGTAACAGTTAAAACCCGATTTTAGATAGAACGCATTTTTCCTAGTTAAAATTAGTTTTTACTAAATGCCTTTGTTAAAACTGGAAATAACAACTCAAATCTCGAATTCACCACTGATATATTTGATTTTCAGATAAAACTAGTTGTCTCTCCGAGCTTTAGTTAAAACTAGCACTACAGAAACTAATTTGGGATTGAAAACAAGATTTAGTTTTTAAATATTTATTAAAAATATCTAAGACACAAGAGTCATATCGTCACTTGTAATATGAATTATCGTAACTGCCAAAAACCAATTTTTCAGGAGAGGCAAATAAGTAAATTTGAAAACTTGAAAAAATATTATAATATTACAATGACATAATGCACTTAATTTTTGAATTTTATAAAATTCTTATTAATATTGTTACGTGTCGGGATGGGGTTCGAAATTATATGCCAGTTCTCCCTTGACAGTTCTTTATTCACCACACCGTTCACACAATTAACACACAATGTTAATTACAAAACACTCACTAAACACTGTATTTCACTATACAAGTCTCTAAACAATCTCTCTTGAACATTGTTGTTGCACTTTGATCGCCTTTGGATTCGCTCCGAAATCGCTGTTGAAACTCAACTATCTCTGCGCGGCGCCAATCGCGCTTATATACGCCGATCGACGCATTCTAGAAAGTACCCGTTAAATTGAGAATTACCTAGCACCCGCGAGTACGAAATACCTACCTATACCTACGCAGGTAACACGCATAACTTGTAAACAAGTGCAGATGTCGTTGCACTTTCACCGTTACGCCGCACTGCATAAGGCTCATTTTAGAATGAGCCGCATTACTCGACCTCTATCGCGACCCGCGGTGATCTGGCAAATTCGATCTCTGGCACTTTCGCGGTTCCGTTTCGAGAGCGTTTGTGACAATATGTTAAATGATTAAATTAATGATGTAATTGGAAAATAAGAATATATCTAATTCTAAACTTATTGTATATAATCATAAAGCCTGATCCGAAATTGTTTCCTTTTTGAAGTTATACTTCTTTAGGCGCGTTATGAAAAAATGATGAGAGTGAAATTTTAAGAAGCGCGCGCATCACTGTAACACAAAATATTAACAGCATGAAGTTGGTCGCTTTAGCGACCAACTTCATGCTGTTACTTTTGTGTTTACCGCACATTAAGAAAATCGACCAACAAAATAGAAATAGAATCTCTATTTAGTGGGTTCTAACGACTGCATAGTGAAGGCCTATCAAAAGTATTTATTAATCTGGAACAACGGAACCAAAGCGCGATTCAGGAGATTACAGCGCCATCTCTTGACCATTGGTGTAGTAGAACCAAAAACCACATCTTTATTTTTTGTAATAAAGTAACAGTTATAGGTATTCATATTTATAATATCAAAAGTATTTATTAATCTGGAACAACGGAACCAAAGCGCGATTCAGGAGACTACAGCGCCATCTCTTGACCATTGGTGTAGTAGAACCAAAAACCACATCTTTATTTTTTGTAATAAAGTAACAGTTATAGGTATTCATATTTATAATATTTATCCACATGTTTCATGCAAGTGCAAATCACATATGTTCTAATAAATTATATTCAGTAGCGATTTTAATTGAATATTTTGATTATTTATTTATTTTTTCAAATTAAAACTGAACTTTATTGACTGTGTCCTTTTCCAGACTTTTTATTAATTTATTGTAATTAATTATTTGCATGCAATTAAAAACTAATTTTAAACGATGCCAAAGAAGGATAACTTCTCACGCGCGTACATAAGTACACGCACCCATTTTTTTTTATTAATGTTTCATATTGATTTTGTTAGAAATTGGCATTATTATGCCATAGGTTATTCAGGTGTTGTGGCCATTGAGAACTGTTTTAACTGACTCGCTTCGGAAAAACGCGTATTGTCTAGTAAGAACTAGTTTTAACTGATATTCCATTTTGAGCATTAATCAATTGTAGTTTTAACAAAGGCATTTAGTAAAAACTAGTTCTAACTAGGGAAAACGCGTTGTAGCAAAAAACTGTTTTTAACTGTAACATATACTTATGTACTACTAGAGGTGCCCTTCGGTTTCACTAGCATTAACATGAGGGAAAAGGTTATAGTGGGTCTCCCTTAAAAGATAGACATAATGTTGTTGCGGACTTTTTTATAGGACATTTAAACGGGAACAATTCCGTTAAACATGATATTTGTGTAACTTTTTAACCGTTTAGGTGGCACATGCAACGAAAGCTCTCAAATGGAATATTTTTCCCCATTTTAACATCATTTTTCATTGGTGCTCCGCACCTATTGGTCGCATCGTTATATTATATAGCCTTACTTGATAAATGTAATATCCAACCCAAAATCAATTTTTGAAATTGGAGCATTAGTTCCTGAGATTAGCGCGTTCAACCAAACAAACAAACAGAGTTTTCAGCATTATTATATTTAAGTGCAGATAAAAATTAAATCTAAAATAAATAAAGTTCATTGGTACTGGTTTTTATTAGAGTTCCGTACCCAAGGGGTAAAAACGGGACCCTATCACAAAGACACCACTGTCTGTCTGTCAGCGGGCTGTATCTCATGAACCGTGATATTGATGTTGTATTTCTGTTACCGCTAGAACAACAAATACTAAAAACCGAATAAAATAAATATTTAAGAATAAAATAATTATTCCCATGCAAGAGACGCGAGCCGTTTTTTGCTTGATATTATAATCTAGTATCTAATGTTGTATAGAAAATGATACGAAACCCTTCGTACGTAAGTCCAACTCGCACTTAGCTGCTTTTTTCATATGCATATTATTTTCATTGCAGCTTCTGCAAGTGCTGATTTGACTGTTTTCGGCTTCAAAATTGTGGGATCTACCAGTGGAAGGTGAATATGTTTTTGTGATGTATTTTTTTATTCCCATTTACAATCTTGAGGACTACTACAAAAATGTAAAATGTAAATACTTAAATTCCTACTACAAAAATGTAAACGATAATGTGTATACTATTCTTGGTTTTAAATGCATCAAGGTCTAGTGGCACGTAATTTTCCCATAAAGTAGTCCGGGCAAAAAACTGGCCAATTTATTCACGGAACTAGTGGGAAGAAAAATCCCATTAGTGCGACTAACAGAACAGGGTCTATAATGGAAAAAAATGCAAGACCGATGAAATGGAAATTATATTATATTACGCCGAAGTCAATCATTTTTTTTGCCTTAAAGTCGGACAAATAATGTAGTACCATAATACTATAATTGCTATTTCTTCTTTCAAAAGTTTAATACTTGTAAAAGTATTCATTTGACATTGTGGGTTACCTATAATGCGAAGAGATGGCGCTGCCTTGCAGCTTAAGAATGGCTAGAAGAATTTCGACGCGCCGCGGTAGCATAATTGGTCAGTGCATTCGCCCGGATTGCGAAGGGTGCGGGTTCGAGTCCCGTCTGCTGCCTGGTCCGCGTGGAATTTTTTCTAGTTATATTTTCTTTGGATTTAAACATCAAGCAGTTACATGCTTATATAAAAATTATAATGTAGCACCACCACTTTTTTCCAGTCTTGAAATTAATAACGTGAGAGCCGCCGGTCAAGCCAGGATAAGCATTGGTCTTAGCGGAGTGTCCCTAAGATCGATTACTATCGACGTCACTCTCGGTGGCATTAATGTACGTATTTTTATGCTCAATTGATCATCATCATCAGCCTTATATCATTCCCATTGCTGGGGCACAGGCCTTCCTTATGGATGGAATACGGAGAAGGGCCATGATTGTGCTCATGGGCTCAGTGTGGATTGGTGGGTGCTAAAGACTGCATATGCAGCCGGGACTGACGGCTTTACGTGCCTTCCGAAGCACGGAGGAGCTCGATATAATAAGTTATATAACCGGCTATTGCAAAGTTGCTTAACTGCCACTAACGCAAGACGAAAGCGCTTATCAACTGCGCTATCGAGCTTCACCTCCGTGTAATTAATAATACATATTAATGTGAATCAAACCTCAATGAGGGTTTCTCTGTTTTTTTATACCATGTTACATTATACTAATGTACTACTGATTTGACTCATTAGCACTGACCATTATACATATCCATTCGCCCAGATAGCGAAGGGAGCGGGTTCAAGTCCCGTCTGCTGCTGCGTCTACGTGGATGTTTTCTACTAATATCTTCTTTAGATAATAAACATCGAGCAGTTAAATGCTTAAAAAATAAAAATTATTAAAGAATATTTGTTGAAACTACTTTAGTAGTAAAAAAAGTATTGCTTTACATGTAATTCAAAGTAACTGTAGAAATTGAATACATTTAATTTTGTTTAATTATTCACAAATGTATAAAGTCATGAGTGCTTATCTCGCCAACAAACTGTTTGCATACGGCTATATGGCTACTCCTCTCTTAATAAAGGATCAATGGTTCTAATGCTTGTACATTTCTTTTACAGTCTAATCTGGAGGTGAACGCTCTTGGCAGAGATCTATCTGAGTCTGTGAACAAATTAGCTGGAACTATTATTCCGGAGGTGTTCGATGAAAACAGGGTGAGTAGAACTACCTAGAGGTTCATACTTTGATTTTATTACATTAAATAAATAAATATTTCCAACACTCATACCAATTAGCTTAGCCTCAAAGTAAGCAGTGTAGGCTTGTCTTATGGCATACTTGGGCAAAGGATAGAATACATATACTGATACATATAAGTATATCTATTAAGAAATACATCGGAGTACAAACGTCGTATTCATCACACAAACATCTGCCCCCCACCGGGATTCGAACCCGGGACCTCTCGAGTAGGCTACACCTTTGTAGGAAACTTCGCGTATATACCACTCGGCCAAGGAGGTCATCAAATTTTATTACATTAATTACACAAATCAAAGAAATCTAAGCGACATGCAGCATTTACGCAAAGTGCTACTTTTATCAGTGGCCATTTTATATCGTTTATAAACTTATTTTTATATTATCGTTATGAAAATTATAATTTTTCAAAGGCTTTTTGTTTGTCATTTTGTCAAAAAATATAAGTATTACAAAACAATATTGGAAACATATCAATAGTTCAAAAAGTTCATGTTGATTTTTGTTGAGTATATTTATTTGTGTAATTTATGTTGTTCGCGTTTTGCGAACGATGTTTTATCGACAGTTAACAAATAAACAGTGTTGATCAAAATATGATCTGAATACTGATCAATGACTACGATTATTTGTACTTATTAATCATGGTTGACGATAATTATAAATAATGATAAAAAGTAGAAAAATCGATTATTCACTAAGGCAAACTCGCACCAAAGTTTTCATATTAAAAAAAGGTAATATAATATAAAAAAAGCAACGTAGGAAAGAGGTACCAAACAGGATTATTGAATCTTAATTTTATTTAAAGATATTGGTGCAAATGGCCCCAGCCTCCCTAGAATGAGCATCGCGATATGATATATAACGCGTTTTTATCACGCTCAATTGTTATGGAGTTTGACGGTTCGACGCGATACAAAACATGATAAAATGTAAATTGTGGTGCTCATGCTACGGGGTTAAAACCATAATTGCATTTAGTAACATCTCAATTAAGAACCTAATTTAACTTTTATTTATGAAAAATAATTTATCATTAATATATTATATACACTAGTCACTAAATTATAACAATAAAGAACTTAATGTGAGGGTAAAACTAATTAATGCTTAATTCCTTTAGCGATCAAGTAAAAATCTATTTCCTTTCTTTATCTTAAATTCATTTAATATCCTATTTCTTTGTTTCTCTTATATTTATGTAAGTATAGCTCCTGTATTTACTTTTGCACCCTTCTATATTTCTCTATTATTATTCCTTTTCTACCATAGGTTGCCTGGAAGAGATTGCTGTTTAGCAATAAGGCCGCCTATTGTACTCTTTCTTCTGTTTTATTTGTTTTTGTCTTGTGTCCTTTGTTGTGTGCAATAAAGAATATTTATTATTATTATTATTAATGTCTAAAAACTTAAAAACCAGAAATAACTAACTATACAATTTACAAAATAAAAAATATATTACCCCCAGCGCCGCTGTCAGGAATGGTGCCTAATAGGCTGGCAGCATTTCCTCGTTGGATAGCAAGGCTAATATTATTTATTGATTTATTTGAAAGACGTATTATTACCGATCAGAAACGAAAATCTATTTAATGTTTCAATCTTGACCCGCCCGACTTCCAAATCATGAACCAGATATGATATTATTTTTTACTTTTTAGTTCCATTGTCGATTTTGAAGTCGGTTTTATTTTTTGTTTATTTATTTTTTTATTTCAACAATTTTAATGAAAATTACATCGTCCAAGTAAACAAAAAACAAAAATGTTCATTAAATAAAAACTACTGGATCAAACAAAATATTTTTTTTTATGGAACCAAACGGCAAGTATCTCCAATTGAACAAAAGAAGAATCACTCAAATTGGACCAGAAATCCTTATTAATCGGTGTACATATAAACACAGTATCATGAAAATTACATCGTCCAAGTAATAATAATTTTTATAAGAAGGTTTCCCTCGATTTCGCAGAATTCCACTATCAGATCCTGAATTGGTTCCAATGAGACCACATCGGAAGTGCATTCTTTCGAATAAAAAAAGAATGTAGGAAATCGGTCTACAATTGACGGATCGCGAACATGCATAAAAAAACATAGTGCGTGCCTTTGAAATTTGAAAGTTTCCCTCGATTTCCCCGGATTCCACCATCAGATCCTGTTTTGGTTCCAATGGGACCACCTGGGAAGTGTACTCTTTCAAATAAAAAAAGAATTTTGGAAATCGGTCCATAATTGACGGAGAAATCGGTGAACATACATAAAAAAAACAGTCGAACACAGAACCTCCTTCTTTTTTGAAGGCAGTTAAAAATCTTTAAACACATATCAAAACACAAGTAATACTATCGTAATACCCTTTAATTTGAAATACTGCGAAAATAACAGACCAGGTTTTTTAAACTTGCGTGCTTGACGCGTATCAAGAATACTTCAGTATCTTACACTCGCGAAATGTCAGTATCTTCGTCTCCGTGTGCTTGTTAAGGGTAAACAGCGCAATTCACATTCCCCAAAAAAGTGGGTAACATTAATCTAATCAAAATTAGTGTATTGCTCACAACAATGACCTTCTATATATATGGACGTCTCTTAGGTATCACGTAACCCAAGCCTTGTGGTGCACACTTCGTGGGACTGGGTTAGTTTGTGTAAGGGCACAAAGTAGGTACTAATTATTTATTTATTATTATTAAATACTTTTCCTTTCTTTCCAGCCTGACATCAATAGAGTATTGGAACACTACATACTTGAAATGGCCAATTCGTCGTAAACACTACTAAAAAAACCCTAGCAATCAAACAATTCTGCTATTACTTAAGTTATTATGATTAGGATAATATTGAAAAGTTTTTGTATTGTTCTGAAGTTTCTTTGTTGGATACATAATGACCAAGTCATATCAGGCTGTGTACTACTTAAACTGCAATAAATGAAAATCTTGAAAACATGTGGATTTTTATTCTTAACTAGTGACCCGCCCTTGCTTCGCTTCGGGGTAGAATTGATCAAAATCCTTTCTTAGCGGATGCCTACGTCATAACATCTACCTGCATGCCAAATTTCAGCCCGATCCGTCCAGTGGTTTGGGCTGTGCGTTGATAGATCACTATGTCAGTCAGTCACCTTTGATTTTTATATTATTTATTAAACTTGGCTCCCATTTTAACATTATGTTTTGATGACTTTTTTGGGAAACCTCGAAATTCGATGGTAAGTATGAATTCAGCCTGCCATAATATTCAATTATACGCAATCAAAAGCAAGATAAAGCGAAACACTCGTACCATTAACACAAAAAAGTTAGGCGTTCAACACGAGTTTAAAAATAAAAAGTCATATAAAAGTTGCTCAGCTCTGCCATGGATTATAACAGTTATAATAATTCTACTGCTCGTGGAGTAGTTAAATGTACTTAATCACACAAACATTATAAAGGCGAAAGTTTGTAAGTGTGTATGTTTGTTACTGCTTCACGTCTTAACGGATGGATCGATTTTAATGAAATTTGGTATGGAGTTAGCTGACACCATGGATTCACGCATAGGCTACGTTTTATTGCGGGTAAATATCCTTAATAAACCGCGGGTAACACCGCGGGGCACAGCTAGTAAATAAATAATTCCGGCAGCTACAATTTCAACGATTTTTGCCTTAATGTTCTGTGCATACGAGTACACATGTTACTCGAGAATGAACACAGACTGAATGACCTAAAGACGTCATCAGACGAGTGGTCGGCTTGTGTTGATCCATCTGCTCATGCATTTGTCTACGTCTGGGTAGAGGAGGCATTAGGCGGGTAGCAAACCGCCGCCATTTGCTACCTGGCCACTTGCCGCCATGCTATGGAGACCCCGTGGATGCCCCGCCAAATATTCCTCTAGCATCTGCTAGAAGCAGCGCCACTTCTGAGAACCCATTGACATCACCATCAGCTTATTAATACCCCCACTACTGGGGCACAGGCCTATCCTTTGAACGGAATAGGGAGATTGGGCCATGACACACCACGCGGGCCCTGTGCAGATTGGTGAGTGCTAACGACTGCTATGTAGCCGGGACCAATGGCTTAACGTGCTTATTGAAGCATGGAGGAGCTCGAGATAGTAAATTTTAAGTAACCCATCCAATGACCAACCACTGCGAAAGTTGCTTAACTTCAACGATCGCAGCCGAACGCGCTAACCACTTGCGCCATCGAGCTCCTACACACCCGTATACATAGCGATCCGTTGTAAAGGCCTGTTTTTTGATGGCATATGTATTTGTTTGAGCGACTTCACACATAATCTTACACTTCGGATCCAGGAAAAAATACCGAACCGAAAAAATATACAGCAGTATGTTTTACTAGTCCGTTTAAACGTATACATAATTGGCGTATATATTTGCATTAGCTGGTTCACTGTGTCATTATTATATGCATCGTAATTACCTACTTAATTTGGTCAGCATTTGAGAACTCTGTTTTGGTCTAATGGTCACTCAGAGGGACGGACCATCATGGTCATCATGCAAAGATCTCTGCATGCTTAAGAAATATAATAAAAAATAAATCATTTTTAGTTTTTTTATATATATATATAAAGATTTATTTTTTATTTTATATATAAAATTCTCGTGTCTCGTGTTTTAGTTACCATACTCCGCCGAAACGGCCTGACCGATTTTTATGAAATTTTATATTCATATTCCGTGGGTCTGAGAATCGGCTACTATCTATTTTTCATATCCTTAAGTGATAATGGTTGTCCACCTATAACGTAGTGTTCTGAAACCTACAATGCGCCTTCGCGCCAAAATTCAAAGTATTGGGTATTGTAACGTAGTGTTCTCATATGGGTTAGGAGGAATGTTATCCCATAAAATTGATAGAACACTACGTTACTATAGAGTTCTACCCAGAAGGGATAGAACCTGGGGACGTAGATATTAATTGAAAGATACTGGTAGAGATAAGTTATTTATTTTGTATTATCATTCAGGCTAATATAAAAGTATTTTATCTAAATACGAGAGGAATTCTTGGTGCCTGAAGATCTAATAATCAATGGAACCTTCTATCAAAAGACAGACGATTCCTTATTTCAAATCTTAAAATCATGACATTAACTTTTTAATATAACTGCCAACCGTAGGCATTGTAAAAGCAAAGAGTTTACCTAAACAAGGAGGCTGCAACGTCAAGGACGTTACATCCCTCCGGCACCTCTAAAAAAAAAATTGTTTTGTCATACCAGATGACCGAACAAATTTTTTTTTCCTACCTACTACATCGAGAGGGTTCGACGGTCCTATCTAAAATCCCTACCTGCTTAAGGACATAAATACAACTGGGAGGTGGCCTTTACTACAGACTAGCCTTCACAATAAGTTTGCAAAACTTGCAAAAAAAAACTTTACGGGAAAAGAACCCTAACTATTTGCAAAGTTTTATTGCAAAGACTTTACGGGAGCAAAACCTTAACAAAATCCCTCGTACATCTCCCTCCTAACCTTAACTTTACTTTACTTTACATCGACATCAGTCGGCAAAAACAAAAAAACAAAGCTAACCCTAGCTATAACTTAAATTACCCAAGCAATTTTTATTTTATCCCATCTATCAGCAAAACTTTACCCTATCCCATTAATTAAACCATTAAATATCAAGAAAATTTATATTTTGAAACTTCATTACTTCCCATACGAAACGAAATTCAAACTATTTCCTAAGATTCGTAAACATTAACTGGATTTGAGCAAAACCTAAAAGAATTTATAATTAATGTTTACTTTCGTACATCTTTAATAAAGATACAGACGTGGTCCACCACTTTATTGTCTTGTACTTTATTAGACACCCATGATGCGCAAACGTAATAGAAATTTTGGGTAAGGACATCTAGCATCAAACAAGATTAAACCCAATTCCCATGGAATACTAAGGGTTCCCTACCCCCAAGTCAAACTACTACAAGTGACGATTTTGACGAACGCGACGCGACCAAATTGAAACGAAAACGACGCGAATTCGTAGAGGGTGTCTCCATCATCTTCAGGGTGGATCATCGTCAGTATCGCTGACGTCTGCATGAGCGCCAGCCTGCTCTCTCTCGGGAAGTCCGCATCATGTGGTAGTACATAAAACAATCAAGAAAATATTAGTAAAATTCTTTACACCATTTTTCTTCAGTCGGGTAAGTTAATATTCATGAAAACATTAAGTTTATGATAAGTCTTTATACCATCTTTTCATAGTTGGATAAATTTTCAAAATTTAACATTATTATTCATTTATTTATTTTTTAACCTTACAGGGAATCGAACCCGTTTCCTTTTTTATAATAAGGGAATTTTCTTTATGGACCTATATTATCCTATTATACATTATTAACTATATATATTCTATCCTAATGCTGAATTAATCCTATCAATGATCATATTCAAAGTCAATTGAATAATTCCAAGTTGAACAGAGAATCGAACCTGTTACCTATCATTCTTATGGTTATTACGATATCAATAATCCACCTACTCAACAAATTACACTAAAGCTAACAATTAAAAGAAATGAAAATACTTTAATGAAACTAACTATTAATCTGTCATAAACAAAATGTGTAAAATTTCCTTATAATATGTATATTGAAAAAAATTTCTAATAAAATGACAAAGTTATATTTAATATGCTTTTGAAATAAAATTCTAAAACGACTATTGTATTGAACCTTATTTACATACCACCATTGCTTTAAAACATTCATATAAACAATAAACTGAAATAAAATCTCATTAGTAACACAATATTATAATACTATCAACCTATTCGGCATAATATAAATTTTCATCATACACCGAATTATCACTATTCCTTTCATTATTCATTTTTATATATTGTCTTTTAAACTTGCACTTAATATGTTTGATTATTAATTGTTCGTTACAAAAATCTATTATCGCATTATTTCGAAGAAAGAAATCCTGTCCTAAGATGAGGTTATGCCTAATATTTTCTACCACAAGAAAATCATGAATGAATAACGCATTGTCTATCAATAATTTTAGGTTGACTTTCCCTATAACCGACAATTCTTTACCATCGACAGCTTTCAACTTCATATCGCTTTCATCAATTCGTTGATGAATTCTATTAACTGTGTCCTTCGACACCACAGATACTGCAGCACCACTATCAATGAGCCCTACAAACTCCTTATCACGACACGTTATATTAATTAAAGGTTTGGACTCACTTGTATGCTGATTGCTGTTTTCTGACGACTGTGACTGGTGAACTTCTTCATCAGCCATCGTCATTAAATTTTCTTCGTAAAAAAATTTCTTGTGATGCTTCTTTGGTTTTTTCTTTTTTTTGTTCAAGTTACTGGAACAAAAAGTGCGGGGAATCATGTGTTCGGGAGGGACAATGGGATGAGAAAGGACACTTTGGGAGGAAATGAAGTTGATTTCCTTCTCTTGTTCTTCTTCATGCCTTATTATATGCGAAATTTTCGCCGCTTCGAAGTTTGTCATTGGTGTAACAAACGATGGTTGGATCGGCAGATTCCAACTAATATCGACGCTTTCGTCCCCAAAAATATCCTGCGCTTGTCGCAAAACTTCCTTTAAATGCACTCTATTATTATATAATTGAAATGCGAAAAGATTTTTTGTATTCAAATTCGCATTTTTCAAGAATTGTCTAATGAAGCATTTGTCATCGATGACAGCTCCCGCTTTTGTGACCAGCTCATCCAATACATAAAAATAGTTCAATGGCTCTTCTGACAAGCCTTGTCTTCGTGAGAAAATTTTTTCCAACGCATTTATCGATGATGGAAATTCCTCACGTATTTTCTTTTCTAAAATCTGAAAATTCTCACAAGACTCATTAATTTTTTTATAGAATAACAATGCAGGTCCACTTAAATATGCCGACAACACAACTCTTTTTGTATCCTCGTTGAAATTATTGATGGCGGCGATGATATTAAATTGACGAAAGAAATCGGTTACATCACCTTTTCCGTCGAATGTGGTCCTGGTCTCCATCTTTTTAAAACTATTTCTTTCTTGATTTAAAAATATACTTCACTCGCGGTATTAGAATCAACGCGGCGAGTCCACCATATAGAGTTCTACCCAGAAGGGATAGAACGTGGGGACGTAGATATTAATTGAAAGATACTGGTAGAGATGAGTTATTTATTTTGTATTATCATTCAGGCTAATATAAAAGTATTTTATCTAAATACGAGAGGAATTCTTGGTGCCTGAAGATCTAATAATCAATGGAACCTTCTATCAAAAGACAGACGATTCCTTATTTCAAATCTTAAAATCATGACATTAACTTTTTAATATAACTGCCAACCGTAGGCATTGTAAAAGCAAAGAGTTTACCTAAACAAGGAGGCTGCAACGTCAAGGACGTTACATTACACACCCCTAAAATTTTTTTGGACAATATTTATTTTTTATAATGTAGTATTAAAAAAATACATACAACCCTAAATTTTATCTTCTACCACCTGCCCCTATTTTTATGGTGGTACAAAGTTCGCTGGGTCAGCTAGTATTTAAATAACTTTCCTTATTAATAATTGTTCGCTTTTAGTAGAGCTGACACCATGAATATTTAACTATCTTATGTGGCTCAGCCCCCGTAGCATGAGCACCACAATTTGCATTATATCACGTTTTTATCGTGTATAACCGTCAAACTGCATAGTAATTTGACAATTGAGCGTGATAAAAACGCGTAATATATCATATCGCGGTGCTAGTCCGTCAGGACTAGTGAGTAAAATTTGGTGTGATCGATACACATACATTTTTATCTATGTCTAAATCTTATCATAAACTTACATAGCTAGACGCGCCATATGCACACAATTAGTTAGTTTATCTAAATAACTTTATTTCCATTGTGAAGATACACTGGCGAGCAATGAATTCGGGTCAGCCCTATTATTTATTTATTTCAGAAACCAGCTTGGTTTCTTATTTTAGTATATGCAGTAGATATCGAGCCCTTACCGCCAAATTATCGTAAGCGACACTCGCCAAATTATCGTAAGCGACACTTTTGTCGAAATGCGTTTTTTGTGGAAACTAATATTTTTAACCGTAACGGACCCATCTCTGTTGATATTTCCCTCTATTCTTCCCTCTATTATATTGTAACGGTGTTCTTTTGGAGGGAAATATCAACAGAGATGGGTCCGTTGCGGTTTAAAATATTAGTTTCCACAAAAAACGCATTTCGACAAAAGTGTCGCTTACGATAATTCGGCGAGTGTCGCTTACGATAATTTGGCGGTAAGGGCTCGATATATGCCTATATATTTTCTTTTTACTTTTCTGATAATGTATGTCAAATTTATATATTATATATGTCAATTATTTAGAATGAGAGAACGGGCAATTTACTCTTTGGTGTAGTTATTTATACGGTTTCCTTCATCATATTATTGTATTTTAAAAACCAAAATCTTTTTTTTGTAGGTAACTCATTAGTATTGCTTGGGTGTAAGTCAGTAACACGAGATATTTGCGTTTAAACTCTAGCATTACTGAATATCAGCAGAGGATAGAGTATTTAGAGAATACCACTTCTGGACAAGCATTAAAAAGGAGCAAATGTACTTAATATTTTTTTTTGTGGTGTGCAATAAAGAGTTTTTGTATTGTATTGTAAATGTAATACTCCGTGTTGGTAGACCTTGACTCTGACCTAGTGCAGTAAATAGGTAAGTATTACGAATATCACACAAAAAGTTGGCTTGCTGAAAACAAAAAGACAGCGATATCGTGTTGAGCAACTGTTAATGTAGTAGGTATATATATATATATTACTGTCTGCAAATGTACTGTCAAAGTCAAACATAACACAAACAGCTTTGACGATATCCCAGAATGATAAAGAAAAGTTTATCGTATTAGTTCTCTTTTGTTTTGTGCACAAATTAATCATAAATAGAAAATAAACCGGAGAAGTGCGAGTTCGACCCTCTCATGAATGGTTCCATGCCATCATAAGTGGAAAGTTTGAAGTTTGGAATTTAGTGATTTATAAGGTCGACGTCGAACAAAGTTACGCCGAAAAAAACGCGTTCACCTAATTTAATTGTTATGTCTTTTTTTTACAGGCAATACATAAAATGCACTCTGTAAAAAATTCAACTCTCTAAGGCCCGCCTACACCAAAGTTCTAAATTCTAGTAAATGACCTTCATTTACATGATGCAAGTATCTTGCCTTTTCCATACAATTCAATGGAAGCAATAAATGACTTGCATGGTCTAAACAACTCATACCTTCTTGATCTGTTATATTGATTGTTGTTTCCAAATTTTTCTTGGTGTAAACAGCACATACAGTAATTGAACTTCTACTCCAAAACTTGAATAAAAATTGCGCCAAATACGTGCAATTCTTTCAGCAACTCTCCAATAAATAATACACGCACATACAAGCCTGTGTTTAAACATATCAAAACTTGAAAGCAATAATCTCCTTATAATAATTGTATTGGTAAAAAATAATCTTAAACATGATTAGCCCTTTAAAAAATAAAGAACTTGTTGGCTTAAATATAACATTACAGCTCATTGGATCTTTTGTCTACGTAACCCTAACAAGATATAATTATCAATGTAACAATAATTTTATCGATGAAAAAGATCTATGCATTTAGTATAAAACCCATTGCAATTTGTCTATAACCAAATTACCAGTAAAGGCTTTCTCTGTTTAGTTGGTAAGTATGTATATATATACCTATTATTATAAATAAAGCGAATTTTTATTCATTTTAAAAAACCTAGTTTAACCGAATAAAAACCGACTTCTTTAAAATGAAACCATAAAGAATTAAAGTAATACATATTTTTACTTATATTTAAAGTAGCTACAGAACATCAACTATCAACTTAGTAGAACTTAGTATGTAGGTTAACAGCCCGATTGATATTCTCACATAAAAAATCTCATAAAAAAGTAAACACAATAGGTGTATTGTTTGTAATTGAGGAGTCCCATAGTTTTTCTCAAAAAGTACTCATAATATCTTCATACAATAAATATGTGACCATCTTGCTCACCAAAAATTTTATAACAAAAACAGTCATTAAAGTGGTTCACAAATCTCGGAGATATGCGCGAACAGCTGCAAGGGACAGCTGAGTATATATAGTAATATAAGTTATTTACGGGATTGTTACCATGTACCTTGTTTTTAGCGAGTTTCCGATATTTCGGCACTGTTGCAACCGTGATCATGGCGCTTGCAACAGTGCCGGAATATCGGAAACTCGCTAAAAACAAGGTACATGGTAACAATCCCGTAAATAACTTATATTACTATAATGTTAGTGACCATGAAAGTTTAAAACAATATAAAGCTGAGTATATAGTTGTAATTTCAACTCGGTGTCTCCACACATTCCCGTGTATAGGGTGTTGACAGACAGACAGACGGACAACAAAGGGTATGGGTTCCGTTTATATCTTTTGAGTTATGAAACCCTAAAGATTAACGCATAAATTAGGAACCTCTTCCTTTTTTACGTTGGTTAACAAGGGAGAAAAATAATTAGAATTTATGTCTAGAATTCTATGCAAACCGAAAAATGCCACGTTCATACCTAGATGGACAAAAGTAAGAATTATAAGATACCTGTTTGATTGGTTTTGTTGTACTTTAAATTAAACTATTTGATCTGCTGTTATTTAGTTGTTTTTATATTATTTTAGTTGTGATACGAACCTACCATGAAAGTATTAGGACTCCTCTTAGCTGGTCTTCTGGCGAGCTCGGCGGCAGTGACAGACCATCAAAGAGTTAGTGGTAAGTCTTTGAATATACCTCATAACAAATCCAAAGGTTTGATGAACAATTTCACATGTTTATTGATGTGATATGTCTACTAAGCCTTTCCACTAAGAGGGATCATTCTTTCGGTGCTTTGTTTCAACTGAACTATTGACACAAAAAAATTTAAAACTAAAAAAACTACTGTGCTATTGACCACACGACTGAAGTGGAAATTCTTCAGCTGAATCAGTATGTATACATATATGTGTGTGTACATTATCTAAATGTACATATTTCATTTACTAGCTATAAGAGAAAGAAAATCTGCGCGTGTACTGCTTTCTCTTGCATATATCCCCCACTCAACTCCCGTTCGCCACGCCCAATCACACTTTTTGTAACGCGTTCTCAGCTTACTCCCCAAGTCAAGCGTGCGTAAAGAAGTTTTACTTCAAAAACTGCGACGCTACTAAAGGCTATTCAGAGTCAACGTCCAATAGCAGATACTTAACTACTTACAACCATTAGTAGGGAGCTTATATATGTTCATTTTGTAAGGAATTCGTTGGTCTACGTATCCAGACTGCAGCAAGTAAAGATTCCGGTACGATAGCAAGACTCCAGTATGAAAATACACCATGAGTTATGTGGGTTACCCGAGAAACTTAAAAATCGTGCAGACAAAAATAGTAAGAACAGTTATGTAAATGAACTACACCGTTATACAAAAATATTGATTGATATTGTTTACAAAATATTCTAAAACGGTGCAAATTTGTGAATAACACATCTCATCATTATCATCATCAGTCTATTAATATCCCCACTGCTGGGGCACAGGTCTTCCCTATAGATGGAATAGGGAGATTGGGCCATGATCCACCACGCGGGCCCGGTGCGGGTGTTAACGACTGCAGTTGCAGCCGGGACCAACGGCTTAACGTGCCTTCCGAAGCACGGAGGAACTCGAGACAGTAGAATTATTATGCGTTTAAAGTACGTACGTTAACAGGTAGAGCTTAGGGGATTTTCTGCTCGAATTAGAGCGCCCGTCTGGGGAAGTAACCTCCCTCTTTCTCCACGGGGTAGGGTATTAGATCAGGGTCCCCGGCAAGGTCGGGAGGCTGCTAGGTGCGAAGACGCGAAAGAATCCCTAAACGGGGATCCCGCGGCTTCGCGCTAAGCAGCTTAGAGGGTATTCGCAGGGTTTTTTAGCGGATATTATGCCGCAAAGCGCCCGTACGGGTTAGGCCTCTTAAAGGCGCCGTCGTCTGTAAATAGTATTTTTTGCCTGCGTGTAAAAAAAAGGGTATTAGGTCAGGGTGGGCAACGGCGAGAGTGATATTTTTTGTATCGCAAGCGTCTATACTATAGTATAGAGTTTATATCATAATTATCGCCCGTATGATGGGAAGCGGCCACAATAGCCTACAGCCTATATTAGGCTATGGGGGCCACCTGCTAACAGGCGGGTTATATGATAGTTTTATTTGAATCAATTTATGTCAATAACAAATTTTCAGGTTTCATAATCGCACAATCATCAGGTTACTTGAAGACTGTTCACGAAAAACAAAATTCTTTTGTGGAAATATAACCTAAATCGTTGCCTGAGTTACTTTATAAAGTTTCTCAGGTAACTCAAAATTCACACTGTATTTTCAGGTTTTGTGTTTTTAACCAAACGCTTTTTTGCATAGAATTAATTTGGTTTTGAGTCTTATTTTTTGTAGGATTTTATTTTTATTTTTTGTTCTACCTAGTTCTTTTTTTTTTTCAAAAATATACATAAAAGTTGTTCATCGGCCGGCCGTGGCGAGACGGCTTAAGTTTAGTTTTTTTTTTAAGAAATACAATATTTACAGCGAGGTTTATCGAAGGCATCGTAGCTGGTGCTATCGAGGACCTCAGCAATAACATCAGGGAGCGAGGCTTGGACCCGCTGTTAATATCGCATTCAATTGATAAAAGACCTCCAGTTACAGAGTGAGTACTTAAATATCATAGCTGAAAAAAAAACTAAGGGAAGTTCGTTCCATAGGTAAAGATTTTCACAAATAATTTCGCATCTTTATCTGTATCAAGAACTTTAAGCATTTTGAGTTTAAGTGACCAAGCTATTCAGGATGTTCGATTAATCGTTACATTATAAAATATAAAAGTTAAAGAAATCTCAATACAAAACAGGTGCGGCCCGAAAAAAGTCAGCAACTTGCTCAAAGATTTAATTCAAATTTAGTGCTTCCCGTCAAAGGTTAGGGTTTCATTGTCGTTATTTAAATTCACACGAGATAAATTTGAACTGGCAATTTGGAATTTTTTGTAAGAAAAATAGCGTTTTAAAAAAAAAACTAGATTAAAATCCAATCGGTCCAAATTTCAGACGGGATTCGAAACAGCATCTTCCGCTAACTGCCCGGATAAAATATTGAAATACATTTTTTTTACTATTAAACATCTAGTAGTTAAATGCTGTAAATAAAAATATTATAATAATCGGGTTGTAGTTTATCTTGGCTGATTTTTTATAATGAAACGGTTATCTATTAAGTTTAGTTACGTCTACGTAACGTAAATCTATTTAATTCTCAAAAAATCTCGTTATCAACTTCACATTCCATTCAAAAGGTAGTGTAACCTAGTTTTCAGTCTAATTTCTACTATATTGATGATATTTTTGAAGTGACAAGTTCTTATGGGAGGGTAAATCTCTCCGTTACGTAACGCGTTACGGCGCCAGACTGTCTGGATTCCCTTCCTCTCACACATATGGCAACGGTAGGCAGGCTCCTTCTCCCTCACTCTAACCCGCTGCGCCGCTTAAATTAGTTTCAGTTATCACTTCTGTTGTGCGTCTCGGCACACGCTTTTTTTTTACAGGCTCTTCGTACTTAAAGCTGAGATCGAAGAGTTACTTGTGGTCGGCATGAGTAAAATCGTGCTGGATCGTATGACCTACAGCATCCTCTTCTCAACACTCACCTTCGAGGTTTCTTTACCTGGCATTTTCATCAGCATTGGTAACTTTATATTCGGACTTCAAAATAAAAAATGGAACTAAAAACTAAAAAATAATATCCGTTTCATATTTTAAATTCGGGCGGGGTCAGGATTGAAAAACGTATACCGGTTGGAAACGGAAATCTGTCCTTGTTTCAATCTTGGCCAAGCTCGCAGCCTGAAAAGGATGTGAAACGTCATAAATAAATTAGTGCATCTATACAGTTGAAACTTGTTTTATTTATTAAGTGGTGTTCGTGAAAACCTAAGAAACAAATGCAATTATATTTTTTAATTTTTTAATTCCATTTTCGATCTTGAAGTCGTTATTTTTTATGTTTCTTTAATTTTTTTTGTGTAAATACACAGTCCAAGAGAATAATAAACTAAAATGTAAACATAAAATTAAAAGTATCGACTCAAAGTAAATATTATTTTATGGGTCCAAATGTCAACTACATAAAAAACATACCGATCGAATTAAGAACCTCCTCCTTTTTGAGGTCGGTTAAAAAACATAGCTTTTAAAATACATAATTACATTGAATTATAATTGGGCTTGGCAAAAAAGGTCCATTTCAGCATGGTGAGGATGGCTGGAGTGGTAGTTTTCCTTGCAGTTTTTGGTTTTTTTTTATAGCCAGGTAGGGAAATCACTCTGCCCTTACCTTATGGTGGGGTGATTTTTTTTTATGTGGTAACATAAGTTAAGTGGTGATAAAGTCCAAACGCGAATATAGCTGGTACAACAGTTATAAACTACCACACCAACCATCCTCACCTTGCCGGCCTGCAAAAATGCTTCCTCACACCTCTCTTAAAGGAGCCCAGATTGTCGGAAGGAGTGAACTAAGGAACTGGAAAACCAGAATTATGATCTGATTAACAAAAACAAAAACATGGAACTGCGTGTAACTGTTATGGAGCAAGAGCTGAAGGAAATTGAACAGAAATCTCTTTCAAACTCGTTAGAAATTGCTGGATTACCCGAGACATCCCCCAGCGAAATAGGTCCTTTGATTGCTGCCATTGCTTCAGAACTGAATGTTGATAGTAATGAGGTACAATCAATACAACGCCTGCCAGGGTCCAAAGAAAAACCAGGATCGATCCTCATAGAAATGAAGTCAAAAATTCAACAGCAACAATGGATTGAGGCCAGCAAAGACAAAGACAAACTCCTCACCGTGGGGTCGGTGGTGCCTGACGTGCCTGAAGAGAATGCAGAAAATCGTATTTATGTTAGGGAAGCATTGACCAAGTATCAAAAAACTCTTTTATATAATGCTAAGGACCATTTATTAAATAAGTTTTGTAAGTATTTGTGGTGTAAGAACGGTAAGGTATTTGCTCGGAAAACTAGCACAAGTAAAATACACTATATCCGCACAATAGATGATATCAACCAATTTATTAAAAGAAATTCAATTCAACTGAATGACCTACCGAGCACATCATCCTAATTATTCATTGTTTTAGTCATTTTTATTTTAGTTTATACACAATTTTATTATTAAGTAAAATGGGCACACAAAATTACGAAATATTTAATTGTAGTACTCCAAACCATTTTTTCCAACAACTACCTCGAAAAACCGTTGTAAGCCTTACTTGCCTACATTTTAATATTAGGTCACTAATAAAAAGCTTTCCTAAATTGCAAGAAATCATCCATAATTGTAGCTTTCCACTAGACATAATTACATTGACGGAAGCTGGCATCTCGAATAATATTGTTCACTTATATAATATACCAGGTTACAATATGTTTTCACAATTGCGTGACAATAAAAAAGGTGGTGGTATTATAATCTATGTACGAAACCACTTTAAATTCACTTTGATTCAACATAAATCATCAACTTATGAAAATCTCACTGGTATTGTTAAACTTAATTCGTCCCGAAACGTTGTTATTTGTGCAGTATATAGACCACCATCCACTAATAAAAACCTGTTTGTTAACGAGCTAAGTAAGCATGTCTCCAGCTTTGATATGAAACAAAACTTTCTTATAATTGGTGATACAAACATCGATCTAAAAGCTGTAACTTCATACAAAGATGCATACGAAGGGGCGCTCAGTGAGCTCGGATTTATGTGTGGAATATCAGATTACACAAGAATTGAAAACAGGCAAAATATCATCGCTAAATCTTGTATTGATCACATTTTTTCTCGATTCCGCACATTACATCCGTTCTCAGCGGCGCTCGACGTTGTACTGGCCGATCATCGGGGCATTATCTTTTCATGCATTGACTATTCACATGTGCAACCTGAGCGTATGCAGCACGTGACTAAATGTAAAGTTGACTATGATATTTTGTATAAAGAATTAAAAAATGTAGAATGGATCAAATCTAAAACCATGAGTTCCACAGACGAAATTTTGGACTTTATACGTAATTCTTTTGTAAAGGCAAAAACTGTTGCAACTAAAACTATTAAAATTTCGAAAAAAAATGCTAATAAATATTATGCGCCTTGGATAGATAGCAATATTATGAAGCTCTGCGAGAAACGTAATAAATTATTTTTCAATTGGAAAAAGCAGCCAAATGATGTTAAACTACGACTAGAATATAATAAAATACGCAATAAAGTTCATAAAATTATTGAAACAAAAAGAAATACATATTATTTAAAACAAATCAATAATAATTTTAATAATATAAAGAAAGTGTACAAAATAGTCAATGAATTGTTAGGAAGAGGTTCTCTGTCTATAGATGCAGCTATACTGAAAGCATTTGGTGCACAAGGACTAACCTCCAAAACCATAGCCGATAACTTTGCGGACAGCTTTAACAAATCAGTACAAAACATAATTCCTAATTGTAAAATAAAATTAATAAATAATAGTATCTGTAAACCCCTAGATTCAAGCATACTCTTTCAAAAGGCAAGTGCTAGCAGTATTAATAAAATAATCAACAGATTATGTGGAAATAAATCACCAGGGCTTGACCATATTACAATATCTGATATTAAATTAGTAAGTCAATACATATCTCCAACTTTAGCCGATTTCATCAATAAAAGCGTAAAAACTGGTGTGTATCCTGATGCATTAAAAGTTGGATGTGTGAGACCTGTCCATAAAACAGCGAAAAGGGATGATTATGCAAATTATCGTCCAATAACCTTGCTTTCCTCAATCAACAAAATTGTAGAAAAATGTATTAGTGATCAAATACAACATTTCTACAGCAAACACAATGTAATTTATCGGCGTCAGTTTGGTTTCCAGTCAGGTAAGAGCACAGCAGATCTTTTATCTAAATTCACCGATGAAGTCAATCATCACCTTAATGAAAGAAGACACGTTTTAGTTTTGTTTATAGACTTTTCACGTGCTTTTGATGTATTATTGCATGATCAACTGATTAATAAACTGGACAATTGTGGCGTACGTGGCCCTCTGTTGCGCTGGTGTGAGAATTATTTAAAAAATCGCAGTTTTTCGGTTAAAATTAATAATAGCTTTAGTAATACCATACCAGTGACAGAGGGCACGGCGCAGGGTTCAGTACTTGGACCTTTGCATTTTCTGACATATGTCAATGACATGAACAGCTGCATCACCAACTGCTCTTGCTATCAGTTTGCGGATGATACTTGCCTTGTTATCGGCGGTAAAGATCCCCAATCGATCTGTGATCTTTTGCAATCTGATTTGGATGCCCTAACAAGATGGTGTCATGACGCTGGATTGGTTATTAATGCTGGCAAAACTAAACTGTTAATAATAAAGTCTCCATATGTCAAAGAGTTGCCACTAAAAAAAGTCATAATCCATGATCATACCTGCTTACATGTTGGCGGTATATGTGACTGTACACCGGTTGATATAGTTGATAAACAAAAGTATCTGGGACTTATAATAGATAATAAATTTAATTGGATACACCATATTGAGAATGTATGTACTAAATTAAGGCAATTTCTTGCAAATATAACTATTCTTAAAGATCGCATTCCTTTCAAAGTTAAATTAATTTTATATAATTCACTTGCAGAGTCACACATTCAATATGGACTTAGTAGCTACGGTCGAACATACAAATCCTACCTAAATCAAATTAATAACCTTAAATTAAAAATACTTAAAACTATAGTTTCTAAAAATATTAAAAATATAAACCGGGATAATATAAATGGCATTTTCAAACATTGTAAAACCTTACCAATACATATGCAGGTCCAATATGCTTTACTCAAAGAGCAGTTTTTTAACAATTCTTTAAAAATACCAATTGCACATTCTGTATACACTCGGGCCACAGCTAAGAATCGGCTTTGCGAGCCACGCGCAAATAATGCATACGGTGACCGTACAACTACCCACCTTTTGCCCCGACTTGTTAATAAATTGCCGCCAGAATTACAAGACAGCATCACACATATGAATGTTAGTTATAAGTTGAAAGATTACTTTCTTAATTTGCTGTAACTCAGTTGTTTAAGAGCATTGTATAATACTATGTTTTAAGTTATGCAATAAAAAAATGTAAACTCCGATAGCGCAGTATAAACCTTAGTGGTTTTAGATGTTATCGCATGCCATTGTTTAATGATATTTTTAATATGGTAATAAATAATAAAAAAAAAAAAAAAAACGTGCGCGGGTAAAGAATTCTACTTACGAATAGTATTGTTGCAAATCTTCACATACCTACCATAGGAGCTAGGGCTTGTTTTAAAAATAACAATAAAAGAGAAATAAATGTAAGTAATTATGTTATTTTATTCATTGGGTACTTATATTTCTTATTTTTATTACAGCTTCCTCGAGCGTTGATATAAAAATGTTGGGCAACAAATTTGATGGCTCTATCAGTGGAAGGTGAATTAATTTTAGATTTAAAGATTTTTAACATGAAAGTGGAATAGATCATGACCTGACTCCATTTACACTTGGGTAATATTTTAAATATTATCGCCTCGTATGAAAAAATATTACTGCATGTATTTTAGATTAAAGGACACGCGGCATTTTGTGCCCAAGTTGTATACTTTTTTAATTTTTTATCTGTGTTTCATAATTGGGTAACGTAGTCTGGCAATATTTGTCATCAGCAGCTAGCTGTCAATGTCAAATACGTAGGTTTGTCAATATAACCTCTATATGTAGCCGGGTCGTCAAGAGAAATAACGGAGAAAAAGGCAATCACAGTAGAGAACATTCACAGTCACAGTTCGCGGGAGCGGATGCGAAATGCGAATGATTTTTTGTTTGTATTTTAGGATTGTCAAATTGATATTTGGTTTTTTATTTAGAAAAAGCAAAGGAATAATGGTTTTTACAGTCACTTGAGTAATATTTTGAAGTAAAATTCTGTCCCTTGAAGATTTAGGGTTTCCATATCAAAAAATATTAATCATTATATAACTTCTTTCCACGATTCACTAAAAATAAGGCAAAAGTAGTTTTATTTAGCAAATAATTTTGGCTTTATATTGAGACCAAATACAATTGTATACAAGTTTAGCATTTTTTCTATGAAAAGTGCCGGGTCTCCTTTAGTATTAATAAATATTAAGAAGACACGTGTCTTTTACATGTGACTTAATAACAGAATCACTAAATTTTTAACGAACTAAAAGTCAATTTCTGTAAACTAATGTTTCTAAGAAAACAAGTATTTTGATAATGCTCGTCGATGCAAAATTGCATTTGCCGATATAATATTGAATCTTATCTTTGATGCTTTATTAAACTCAGTAGAAATGTTAGTATTGTTGGTTAGAGGAAGTATAAAAACAATATTGGCATCAGAACTGATCATTGTATATGATTCAAAGAGTGTGTATCAAACAAGAAAATAGGAAAGCATGACACCCAGACGATTATTAAAATTATGAACTTTTATGAAAGAAATGAAGTACATGAAAGGAATGTCGAAAATAGGATATTATATATTTATTGTGTAAATAATGAAGTAAATAACAAAAGAGCAGATGTGAAATGATGTCTCATCAATCGATAAAAAGAGGAAGCAGTATATAAAGATTATTATGCTGACGTTCATCAATATTTGGAACCTGTCACGCATTATTATAACGAAATATCTCTTTCCGTTTTCCAGCGTGAATATTATTGACACTAGAATTAGTGGTCGGGCCAGGATAAGACTTGGTATCGGTGGAGCTACCATCACTGCATTGACTCTCGACCATTCTATACGTGACATTGAGGTTTGAAAATATTTTGTAATCACTTTATTAGTATCATTATGAAATCCAGTTTTTATTTCATAACACAGACGCGAACACAAATCTTCACGCTGTTGTTTAATATAATCATCTTCATTAGATTTTTAATGTCCCCACTGCTGGAGCAAAGGCTCTATGGTCTAGGAGAGTGACATGTCCATGTGGATAGCATTGAGAGAATGACCCAACACGCCGGCGCAGTGCTGGTTAGAGAGTGCCGATGCAGTAGGAAATACCGGTTAAAGTGATCGCACATAATGTCCGCACCGTACACGGCGCATTTCCAAGTATACTTTACGAAATGCGGCGCGTACGGTGTTGATGGAAGTGTCCGAAGTTTCATAAAATGCATACAACAATTTCTTATTGCGGCGCGTACGGTGCGGATATATTTGCGATCACCTTTAACGTGCTTTCTGAAGTGCGTACTAAGGGGTTCAAATAATAATTATTACCCATCCTATGACCAGTCATTGCGAAAGATGCTTAACCTGCATGATCGAAAACCGAACGTGCTAAATAATGAGCCATTGAGTTCCTCCAGTTACATTTTTTATTATGTTCCTATAGACCATTTCCTAGGCTTCTATATCTAAACGTTACAATGGAGCTTCCATCCGCTGTTCGCCCGTCCACATACAGTATGGTAGTGGTCCTGACTTTGTTCTACTTGTAACTACAATATTACTATTACTAATTCACAACAATTCTTTTACAGTCTGATTTGGTAATCTTCGTACTTGGCGAAGACATGTCTTGCAAGGGGAACAATTTTGTTGGAATTACTATTCCCTACTTATTGAAGAAAAACAGGGTGAGACACACAAATTTATGCTTATTTCCAGAAGTTTTGGACTTGTTTCACAAAACAATCGACTCGCCAGTACAAATTTCAGATCTACTATATAAAAATAAGTCGGGTTTTCCTTCCTGACGCTATAACTCCAGAACGCACGAACCGATTTCCACGGTTTTGCATTCGTTGGAAAGGTCTCGGGCTCCGTGAGGTTTATAGCAAAGAAAATTCAGGAAAAATTAAAAAAAAAAACTTCTTTTAATCACCAAACGAAATGTTACATAAAACGAAGCCATCTGGTGGCGAAACGGAGTTCGCGGGGTTTGCTAGTCTGTTAATTATAAATAAGATTTTTTTATAAATAGATAGTTTCATTTATGCCCTTATCTAGCGTTGTAATTTTTTATGTGTGAGTGTCGTAATTACAATTTCGTTTTTGCGAAAGTATGTTGGACCGCGTTTGTGTTCATAATCCTCCCTCCGCAAAAAGCGGCAGATACAAATATACAAATACAAATACAAATTCTTTATTTGATACAATAATTTCCGATACAGTATTGCGATTGGGAATTTCTTTTAAGTAAATATATACTTGTATTAGAAATTCCCGCTCTCCGTGCTAAAAGACATAGTACATTGAATTATTGATCACCTTAATATTTTAATAAGAATGATATAAAATCTAAAAAATAGCAAAAAAAATTTTTTTTTTTTTTACAATATTTCTTTTAGTCGATTTGTTTGTCTGTGCTTATGCATGCTTGTATGTGGGTGTATGAGTGTGTGAGTGTACGTGTACGTGTGTGTGCGCGTGTATTTGTGTCTGAACAAAGAGTGTATTGTTGAAAGTGGTTCTACTGAGATACCTATATAACACCAAAATGCAAAAGATAATGATGTTTATTTAAACATATAATATCCAAACACCTAGCCCTCCAGGAATGTCTCAGTTTTATCATAATTCCAAGTTTTTAGTAGAGATGTTACAGTTATTTTGCAATTGAATTTGTTCATTGAGTATATACTTAGAATTCTGTTGATTTTATTATAGAGATGTCCTGATCGAACCATATACTGCCTCCTTGCATACATTGTTCTAACCGCAGTTGTCAGAGCTACATTATGTTTGCGTCTTCTTGATGTTTTAGAAGGATCATACTCCAAACTCTTGTGCATTTTTAAAATAATATTTAAAATGTAAAGCTGTCGAACCGAAAGCACGTCGCTCATTTTGTATAAGCTTTCTGTAGGATATCTACGGGACTTAAAGTAAATTACTTTTAAGAGTGATCTTTGTGCTATTTCGAGATCCAGGAACTTCATTTTACCAGCACCACCCCAGACCGTAATACAATAAACCAAAATAGACTGAGCTAGTGAGTTGTACAGCAGTTTTAATAGGTTTTTATCGGCGATGTGTCTCAATTTTCTAAATACCCCCATGAGCTTTCTCGTTCTGCCCATCATTAACTCTAAATGGGCGTGCCATGAAAGCCGCTGATCAACCACAACTCCTAAATATTTGGTTGCAGTCACTTTGTTGATAGCCCTACAAGAACAGGATATTTCTCGATTATAACACTCATGAATTCGAATTTGATAGCTAGCGTTAGGTTGAGAAGAAGTATAATTAGTGAATGCAATATAATTAGTTTTTTCTAAGTTAAGGGTTAGAAGGTTATATTTTAACCAGAGGCCTATTTTCGCCAGACCCTTCTCCGTAGCGTGACGTACAGATTCCCACGTATCGCCTGTAAAAACAATGGCAGTGTCATCTGCATATGAAAAAACTTGTCCTGCATTAATCACTATGTCACAAAGATTGTTAATATAGATCAAAAATAAAGTTGGTCCCAAAACACTCCCTTGTGGAACTCCATACGTCACGTCACAGTCAGTACTTGTATAATGGTCTATTTTTACGTGCTGTATCCGTTTATTTAAGTAGTCTATCAGTAATGCTAAAGCAACTCCTCTCACACCAATGCCCTCCAACCTCTTTACAAGAATGGGCACGGAGACCGTATCGAACGCTTTTTTTAAATCCAAGAACACTGTTATACACTTTTTCCCTTGGTCAACGTTCTCTACAATACGAGTTGTTAACGCTGTCACTGCGTCTTCGGTTGAAAGGGATTGCCTAAATCCGTATTGCGATTTAGAGAAAAAATCAATTTTGTCCAAATAATTTTGAAGTCTTTTGTTTATTATTTTTTCCAGTACTTTAGATATCGCAGTTAAAACTGAAATAGGGCGATAGTTTGATATGTTCTTTCCGTCCCCACTCTTATATACAGGCGTAATTACTGCTTTCTTTAAGGCAGCGGGAAATATACCTTGCTGAAAACAAAGGTTAGCGAGGTGTGTTATTATGGGGACTACTTGTTCATTAGCTAGTTTTAAGAACCTTGTAGAAATATTGTCCCAACCTGGAGCACTATCAGAATTAAGTCCCATAATGGTTTTGTAAACTTCTTCCGAATCAGTTTCGAAAAGAGCAAAAGACGGGACTGGCGAGCTAATAGATTCTTTATTCATCCTGGGTTGTGGGTAAACGGTATTTGATAAAATATTCTGAGCCAGATTTTTACCTATACTTGAAAAGTAAGTGTTTGCATGGTCAACAGCCTGCTGTGGGGTATCTCGAATGTCTAACAAAGCCGTGCTTTTTGTGTTTGACGCTTTACGGTTTGTTATGTTGTTTATTGTTTGCCACAGAGTTCTTGGATTGTTTTTGTTGTTAGCTAAAAGTTCCCGTTCATAGATTATTTTTAATTTTCTGATTAGGCTATTACAAAAGTTACGATACCTTCTGTAAGTTATTTTTAAAATATCGTTATATGGGTCAGTTCGTAACTTTCGCTGCATATTATTCCGGTTACGGATGCATTTTAGAATACCTGGTGTAATCCAAGGTTTGATTATACGATTCTTAGATGAAATGCATTTTTTTGTTGAGTTAGTTATCAAACATTGTTGTAATGTAGCAATTAGGATGTTAGTTAATTCTGTAGGGTTGTCACAAAGAAGCAGACTAGTTAAGTTGCTTTCCTTTAGACTCCGAATAGCTTTATCATAATTTGTAACTATCTTATACTTTGATTCCTTTACGTTAAGCTTACTTAACTTAAGCTTAAGCTTAAGATTGATTTCAGTAGTATTATGTCATTATGGCTACTCCCCTCCTAGCCGCGTCGGCTGTATTACTCTATGTACCCACTTGATATAAATACTTTCTTTATTCTGTTAACAGCGGGACATCAACCAATTGTTGGAATACTACGCCATGAAAATGATCAATGAAAACCTGTAAACAAGACTGAAAAAAGGCTGCCATTTATTTAGTGATTCACCTGGCTTCGCATGGGAGCAATATAAAATCATTAAATCGATAAATGTTGACATTATCCAATTTGGTGCAGTATTTCTAAAGTTACGAGCGTATATACTTTTTGGCGATTCAATATTTTATTTATGCAGATAGAAAATAAAAGATTTAGCAATTTCTTAAGTATTTACATATGTGTACTTTATTTTTTACATACTACTTGTATTTTAAATTTTAGAACAACTTATGCAGACTTGTATTTTATTGTTAACGAAATAAACGACTATGTATTCAAAACAAATTGTATTTTTTTATGGTTTCCACCTGTAGATTAGAACAAAAGAGATCTAATTTACTGTAATAATAGTTCATTGAAGTTTCACGGTGTAGCCTACTAAGAGGATCCCGGCTTTGAATTCCGGTGGGGAAAATGTTTGTATGATGGATATAGCATGTATGTTTGTTCCTTAGTCATGGATATTTTTATGTATTTCTATATAAATATACCTTCATTTTGTATTTTAGCCTGGTATCCCATAGAGGTGTCATTCGGGACCACCAACTTCGGTCCGAAATGCCGCCTCAAAAATAATTATGAATTTACAAAGGGGGCTTTCGGGACCGCGGTCCCAGTTCCATATGATCACCGACTCCTCATTACACAAGCCTTACAGTGTTTACTTTGGGGCTAGGCCGATTGATATTTGTTAGAAATATTTATTAAGGCTTCTCGGTGATTTGGCGTTTAGAGCATGCCGTTAAGCAGTCCGCGCAGCTTACGAGCGCTTATGGCATACTATCCACTAAAAATGCTGCGAATACGCTGTTATTTTTTTTTTTATAAATGAATACAATTACTCCATAGGCGTATGCCCATGCCATTATTTAGTTTGACTTTTTTTTTAAGTTTTGTTATACATTTGTTTGTGCACTCAGTGCGGCCTTTTATATTTAATCATGCAAACATGCGGCATGCTCACTTATGTCTACTTAACTAATATAAATTTGGACATATTGTCCATCCCCTTTTTAATGAATATTCTATTATAAAATGTATACGCTTTTTTTTTCACTTATTATCTATTGTAGATGCTTTGTGGAACAAAAGGATTTTCAGTATATTCTATTTGTGTACCTTGTGTTATGTTTTTGCGGCCTTGGGCTCCTACTGGCCCGAGTTAAGTTTGGAACCGCGAGGTCTCCGTTGAGGGATTTCACCGCGTCTCCGTATCTGACAGCTTCCCGGGTCCGTAAAACAACTTAAAAGATTGGAAGGTAGCTTCTTCCCATGGAGAGAGTGCGTGTTTCTATTGATAACTGGCCTCAACGTTTAAAGGACGTGACCAAATGGAGATTATTTTGAATGAACTTCATATTATTTTAAGTTATTAGTTGTCCCAGCGAACTCCGCACCGCCATAAAAAATAGGCGTTGATGGTAAAAGAGTGAAAATTTAGGTTTGTATGTATTTTTGTATGATGTATCATAAACAAAAAAAAACAAAAACCTTTGTCCAAAAAAAAATATTTAAGGGTAAGGACCACCCGAACAATTAGGGGGATGAAAAATAGATGTTCTCCGATTCTCAGACCTACTGAATATGCATTTAAAATTCCACGAAAATCGGTCGAGCCGTTTCGGAGTAGTTCAATTACGCACACCGTAACACGAGAATTTTATATAATAGATTATGTTAATATATAACTATATTGTTAAAATTTCTGCAAAAGAAAAATACCTTGTAACAATATTTATGACAAGACTAGGTAGATATATAAGTAGTTTACCATTAAGGTCACGCTAGTGCCATTCTCTATCCCAAAAGTAACAAACGTATATAAAGAAGTTTCTTAAAAAAAATGATAACAATAGAAGAATGAATTGCTTGTACAGGCAGAAGATTACAAACAAGTTTTAAATGTTATATCAAAGAAATAAAGTTGAAAGTGGATTAAAATGATGTATCCAGTAATCAGATATAGTGTTGCCCAAATGCAAGATCAAGACGAGACTTAGCCAGTCTTGGTCTTGGTCTTGCGCCAATACACCTGGTCTTGGTCTTGGTCTTGCGCTCCCAGTCTTGGTCTTGGTCTTGCAGCAAGAGTCTTGCAAGTCTTGCAATTACCTATTAGACTATTGCTATTTATTAAAGTTTACTTTAGATCTTAGAAAAACGTGTTAGAATTGGAACACTGAGAGCTTGAATTAACATAGCCATAGTAAAGACCAATCAGATTAATAAATGTCTGAAGATTTGATAAGAAATTCGAAAAATCAACTGCCACATGGTTATCAACTTAGCTATATGCCGATTTCCATGGGAGTAACTGTTTCTTAATAAACATTTACACTATAAAAGCTATAAATGTACAATAATAGAACCCAAGTAATTAGTTTAAACCCATATAATCAATATTATAATATATACTTACTAGAATAAATTATTATGACATCTACTACCTATCCTTACCATTATCTAATCATAATACTACTTGCGTGATCAGTATAATGTATTCGTTTCCATTCTAAACACTCTGAAACTTATTTATTCTTTGGAAGACCTGTAAGCTAAAATTCGAAGATCGAAGTCGTACCGTCTCGCTCGCTCATATATTAAATATGGCGTTTTAGCGTGAGTGGGACGGCACGACACGAAATTAGAATTTTGCATGAGTATACCTAGGCCCTGTGGCGGCAAATAGTGTCAAATGTTGTGATTTCGGCGCGGCGGCAACGATTGTTGTATGTGTATTCAATAGATGCCGCCGGCGCGTGTATTATCACCATGTACTTCCGAAAAGCGGCAAATTTCTTTGAAAAGTCAGTACAAAACCTTTGATGCCGCATTATCAAAGTGCCGATGGTTAAAACAAAACTATGCATGCACTCTGTTTGATTTTTAATGGATATTTTTTTTATTCGCTATGTATGTTTATGGTATTGGTCGTAATGCGCATAGGTTCAGTTTTTCATAGTCTTTGATACAGTTTTTTGCGTCTCATAGAATTCCTAAGCGTACCTATACACCGAACTGTTATACCTAACTACTCCGTGAAATAGCGCTAAGTCCTAACTGCAAGACGCAAGAGTCTTGCCGGACTAGTCTTGTTCTTGCTCAAGTCTTGCACGGTCAGTCTTGGTCTTGGTCTTGTTAAAAATAAGCGGTCTTGTTCTTGGTCTTGGTCTTGCAAAAATGCAAGAACAAGACCAAGACTGCAAGACCAAGACTGAATTTGGGCAACACTAATCAGATACATTAAGTTAATTAAGATACAGCTTATCACTGTTATCATTGGTCGATTGAACAAAGAAGTAAATAGCGATTAAGCCGTTATAATTTAATCGTCAGATAATATCCAGTGAAAACGGTATGTAGTAATCATCACAATTATTTTTTATTATTGAACTTCTTGAGAGGTCTCTTTATATGTATATTTAGTGACTGTGTTTTTCAAATTTCTTTTGGTTTTATTTTTGTATACATGACCTAGTCATTGTTTCTATCAATAAAAGAAAATTACATTTGAATGATTCGGAGTAAGTAGATTTCATCTCAAAATAATAACCATTTTGAAAAAGTATAAACGAAAAACGCCATTAAAGCAAAAAGTATACTTACTTACCAATATATCGATAGTCGGGCGGGAATATCTACGCTTTCTGTACTTTCGCATTGTTCATTACTAGGCATTTGAATTAGTGAACAACTCACCAATCACTTGAAAACAATTAGTTTTTCATAAAATAACAGGTGCATATAAAATTGACTCCTCTACTTGTAATATAAGTACTGCGTATTCAGACTTCCATATTCATAAAACAGTTATATTTTTGGTCACTTTTCACTATTATATCCTTTATTCCTTAACAGAAGCGCCTTACTATACTTTTGGCGCCAGTTTCATTACCCACGTCGGATAAAAACAGACCTGTATTTTTTTACTTACATCCAAATAAGTGCTTGACCGCGTTGTCTAGAAAACTTTAATAAGCTAAGCCAAGGGTTCTTTCTTCATGCTTAAAACAGTTATTGCGGTAGTTTTTGAGGAACGGATAAGAGAAAATATGCCTATAATAGGAAAAGCTTCAAATTAGTGATATCTCCGAAATATAATATAAATTATTATGAAATAATAAATCATTTTGTTTTTAGCTTCAAAAATGCGTACAGTATGGATACTTCTGACTGCCGCAGTAGTTACCGTTTCACCGGCATCAATAAACACCAACGTAGCTGATGAAATAAACTTTGACGAGAGAATTATTGAAGAAAGTATTCTTATAAAAGGTGAATTTCAGAACCACTAATTAATTATACGTAGCAGAAATAAAGCGGAGTGCGGGTTTTCTGGAATGACGGGTGCCAGGTGGCAGCTATGAGGCGAATGGTCTACTCATCCTTAAAAATCGCTTATGTCGTCAGCGTCTATGGATCAATTTAAATAAATGGTCGTTCAAATATTTCAAGCCAAAAACTTCACTCAAAAGACCTCACTCCACAGTGGCGCCGTCTAGTGACGTAAATTTCATCATCATCATCAACAGCCTATCCTAGTCCACTGCTGGACATAGGCCTCTCCAATTGCACGCCACTCAGATCGATTTTGGGCTACTCTCATCCAACTCCTGCCTGTCACCTTGAGCAAATCGTCACCCCAAATTTCATAAACTCCCTCATTCGTAGAGGAAATTATATTTTTACTGTCTTAAACTCGACTAATACAAAAGATTTCTAAGAAGCTTTTGATATACTCTTACCTTGACGCACCAATAGCAGTATAAACTGCTAAACTAGCTTTATCTAGTAAATTAATTTTAATCGTTTCCAAAAATCTTTTCTGTGAAGAAATGATAACTGACCACTTGCCAATTTTCATTTTCCTCCTATGAAAGGAATTTATGAATTAATAGCACGTTATTGTCAGCCTTTACATACGAGAGTGAGCGAGAGGTTTCAATCTCAGCAAAAAACCATACTCATTAAAAACTCATCAAAATCAGCCCACGTATCTTGCAGATAATCCCGAACAATAATAAGATGACTATATACTAACGAAATGAGAATTTCCTTATTTTTGAAGTCGGTTAAAAAGGTAAATAATCCAGGCCTTAGAAAGCTTTAGTGGTGGGAAATCGTAGAGCCTTATCTAAATAATTGATCAATCGAATTATCACATTCTTTAGATTAAAATGTACTACGTCATCTAATGGACCGGTGAAGTTTTTATTTTCTTTTCCCTCTAACGTTTGAATCGGACAAAGAGTTACCTAATCGTTTTATTTAATCTTAATTCTTTGAAATTCAAAAAATTAATTTGTAACTCCTTTAGGCACAACATTTTTATTTCTTTTTATATTTATTTATGTTCATTATAATATCAAGAACTGATTTTTTGTCTCTCATGTTTATTAGACACTATGTGAAATAAATAATAGTGGAAATTATCTAGGCAATTGTTTAAACTGAATGTTATATTTTTATGTGTAAATTAATACTGTTATTTCCCTAAAAATAAATAAATAAATAATTTAATTACGTTTTTCAGGTAAGCAACCAAGGAACAATATTATCGAAGGCGTGCTATGGGGCCTAATTGAAGACCTAAGAAATGTAATACTGAACGGAAATGAAGAAATACCGCCTTTGGATCCGCTCATCATTGAGCATGTGTCTTTGACTGACGAAGACATTCCTCTACCAGGGTAAAGTACAAATTGAACTAGAGAAACTCATTTGGAATAACTTTCCAGTCGTTCTAACAGGGGCAGGGGTTTGGAACAATGGCATTCTTTCTATTTGTTTGAACGATATCGTTAAACTTACAGCTTTGAATTTTGTAATATGCATGTTGTGTAGCTTTGTCTATATTAGGGTGGGTCGAAAAAATGTTTTTTTTTAAATATTTTTGTGTAATAGTGCAATTATGTTGTCTTAAATTTTCAATCAGAAATGTGTAAAATATTTTTTGATTCAGCTCAGTGTAATAGATGATACTCAACTCAACCAAGATGATAAGACTCAAGAGGTCCCGGGTCCGAATTCCGGTTGGGGAAGATGTTTGTGTGATGAATCCGAGCATTTGCACTCCAGTCATGGATGTTTAATATGTATTTCTATATAATTAATATACTTATATGTACAGTATATGTATTCTATCCGTTACCCTAGTATTCCATAACACAAGCCTTACAGTGCTTACTTTGGGGCTAGGCTCATCAGAAATCAGAAATCAATATATCTTTATTCAAATTGGATGTGCAGTACAACTCTTTTGAATCGTCCATAAATTTTTTTCCCTACCACTCGTTATGGACATATTTTTTAGCTGTGGAGAAAAACGAGCGAAAAAATCTCCACAACATTAAAAGTCTAATGTAACAACATTTTCAAATCATTATGTTGTTACAACGTCAATACAATTATGATTTATTTAATATAGAAAACCTGTTGGAGGCTAATTTTGTTGGTGTGAGTGTTGGAAATATTTATAGCACTGAAAGCAGTGGGGCTAATAACCTAATGTTGGTTGGTAAATGTTGATGTTTTTTTCAAATTCTAGAGTTAAACTGGATTTGTCAGGAGTCACCGTAACGAACCTGGCAAGTTTTGTCATACAGGAGATGAGTGTAACCTTGTCATCACTCCTTCTGCAGAGGTTCCGAGTGCAGATTAACGGAAGAATTCCATCATTGGATGCAGTAGCAGGTAAACCATACCGCCCTTATTAATAAACGAATGGCATTTCAGTGACCTGAACTAACTGTCTTAGCTTCCCGATGTAACTAGCCTTAGCTTCCCGTCCCGGGAAAAGCCATATAATGGTTTTTATGTTAGAAATCATCCTTTAAGCAGAGCGAATGTTTTGTATGGGAAACCAATAATTCAACAGACAAAGTCGCGGCCAACCACAAGTACTTTTATAAGTTTCTTCAATAAACAATATTATTGATGTATAATATTTGCACACACACACACACAAGCATCTTCAATTCAGGTAGTAAGGGAGAGTGAATAATGTTATTGCATAAGAATATCTAATATTTTGTCTTACCCTCGTATGAACTGGATAACCGTACAAAATAATTATTAAATATGGATAACAAACATTATATCCTTATGGAATAAATGTTTACTAGAAAAAAATCTACATGGACCAGGCAGCAGACGGGACACAAACCCGCACCATCCGCGTGGATTTTTTTCTTGTAAAAAATACTTTAGATTTTATACATATAGCTTTAAAAATAAAAATATATTGATTGGGTCCTTATATTACAAAGCAGGATTAAAAGAACTAATAAACACGCACGGTTAGTGTATTCCGTTTGCGATTGCGTAAGTTAAGCGAGTTTTCCAATGGCTTGTTATAGGATGGGTGTAAAAAAAACTTTTAATTTCCAGCTCGTTCTGCTTCGGAAAGGAAAGCAGAGGCAGCATAGTGAGAAATTAAAGTAGTAACTAACGACAAATTAATTATCAGCGGCTGTCGAGCCATCATCATCAGCCTATTAATGTCCCCACTGCTGGAGCACAGGCCTCCCCTATGGATGGAATGGGGAGATTGGGTCATGAGAGTGAAACCGCGGGAAAAAGCTAGTAACTGACTGAATAATAAGTAATAATATTTTCCCTGTATGTCTTGTGTATCTTTGTTTATAAAATAATCATATAACGCCAGCCCACCCAATCATCATTATCATCAGCCTATAAATGTCCCCACTGCTGGGGCACAGGCCCTCCCTATGGATGGGATAGAAAGATTGGGCCATGACCCACCACGCGGGCCCAGTACGGATTGGCGGATGCTAACGACTGCAGATGCAGCCGGGACCAACGGCTTAACGTGCCTTCCGAAGCACGGCTTCTCGAGATAGAAGATTTTTGATCACCCATCCAATGACCGACCACTTCGAAAGTTGCTTATCTTCAACGATCGCAGCCGAACGCGCTAACCACCTGCGCCATCGAGCCCCTCATTGTCCCCTGTCAAGTAAATCATTTAAAATCGACAACATTGTACGCAGAGATAATAAACAATAAACAAACGAATAACACTGTGTTCTATTAAGGATAGAGATCTTATAAAGTTCCTATCGACTACGACAAGTGCTCTCGAATAGACAACCACTCGAAATGTCTTTGACACCAACACGGACACATCTCGATAACGAGAGTTTCGCTAAACTCGATACTTGAGTTATATTACGCCCTGTTGCGTTAACGTTTCTATATTAAAATGCTGATTACTCAATCATTCATTGAAAAAGTACATTTTTTCTAAAAAAAAAGTACTTTTTTCTTGGTCTGTGGCTGATTATGGAGATAAAGGTATTTTCAGAGTTTCATGTCTTAAAAGAAAATACCATAACAGGATCACTTTGTTGTATGTCTGTCCGCTCTAATGTCAAATCCTTTTTTTTTCAAGAAACATGTGGAGGTTTCAAGTTTGAATTAATATCATATCATGTCAAGAAATTTAACTTCCAAGTTATCTATTTAAATAAAACTCAAAGGTGACTGACTGACTGACATAATGATCTATCAACGCACAGCCCAAACCACTGGACGGATCGGGGTGAAATTTGGCATGCAGGTAGATGTTATGACGTAGGCATCCGCTTAGAAAGGGTTTTGATCAATTTTACCCCCAAGGGGATAAAATAGGGAATGAAAGTTTGTATGAAACTTTGTCAATTTTAAACCGATCGTGCTAAGACTTTGCATGCAGGTATAAGAAGAATCATAGATGAATGTCATTGTGTATAATACAAGCCTGAGAACAAAAACTGTATTCTACACTTCAGCTCTACACCGAAGCGAAGTGAGGGCGGGCCGCTAGTCGCAATATAATTATAATGATACGGCCATTTATGTCACGGAGCACGATAGCGCAGGTGGTTAGCGCATTCGGCCTGCTATCGTGAAAGTTAAGCAACTTTTGCAATTGTCAGTCTTTGGATGGGTGACCAAAACTTATTATCTTGAGCTACTCCGTACTTTGAAAGGCACGTTAAGCCGTTGCTCCCGGCTGAATCTGCTCGCAATTCTGTCCTGTTATTAATGTCAAATTGTCGCATTGGACTCTGGTGGTGGGTCATGGCCCAATTTCCCTATTCCATCCTTAAGGAAGGCCCGTGGCCCAGCAGTGGGAACTTTAATACGCTGATGTTGATGGACATTTATAGTCATAGTATGGCGTACGTTTTGACTCGCGCATCGCGATGAGGGAATCAAAGCCTTTTGAAAAATCTTTTCTAAAACTTTTTGGGACCTGTTTTGATCAACAGTAACAAAAAGAATTACATAATCAAACTTAAGAAGTATAATTTTATAATATCATTTTCCACTATCGAGATTCGCACTTAACACCTTAGGGTAGGCGACACCTTAAAAACCGCACAACTATACTACCACGGTAATGTTATCGTATTTCTACCAAGGAGATCGTTATTCTTAATCAGTTTGAGTTTATGCCGGTAGGGGGAAGTGTCTATCTATATATAACTATCTTTAGTGTCGCCGCACACGGGCCTCACGCCACAGCCACAAACGCCGCCACGAGAAGCTAGAAGCGGCTACTTAAGTGGCTGAAGCGCGCGACAGCGGCCGACTAAGGCAAGGGAGAGAGGGGTGGGGAATCGCGCGAGTGACGTGTGGCGGCGTTATTTATCGGCGCATTAAGTGGCCGGTGCGGGCCACAAGAAGCGAGCAACGACGATTTGTAGCGTGTGGCGGCCACTGGACGCGGCGTACCGTGTGTTGTAACGTACCTCAGGGATCGTCCCATGATTTCGACTATCATAGGTTCCATTTCACACATTTTATCATATAACATCATCGATATTCATCAGGCATATATTATTTTATTATGTATTTCTGGAAACACACAATTACAAAAATATCACACACTATTCATCATTTTGTAAATACGTATTATAATTCCACTTACCGGCATTTCTCTTTATTCTGTTATTAATTTGTTTTCATTAATTTTGCTGCGATTTTATCTATTTTTAGTTCATTTATTTTATTGACATTTTTGACAACTTAATGTTTTTTATCCGTTGCCATGGCTACCCATGACATGGATACTCTCTCCAACTACGTCTATGATTATTCAACCTCCACAGACCACCTACTTTGATTCTTTTTAGTTCGATTCGAACCGTGTCTAAATTTAAATGGTTCCGGACCTATAAAAGGCCGAGCCTCCCTGATCTTTCATTCAATTCTACGGCAAAAGTTGCCTACTCAACTTTTGATAGCTCGCAACCGAGTTCTAAATTAATAGAAAGCCTTGTCCCGGGGCCGGCTGCCCCGGGACTCAAGAAAGACCTCAAAGCTTTACAGCACCTATTGGCTCTCTAAACAACTACTTAACTCTACTACTCTATTACTCTTCTCGTCATCTTCACCATACTCGCAACCTCATCGGTGGGATTGCCGCCTGGACTCCAGCTTCCTCGGCCAGCCTCCAACTGCTTCAGCCCGCCTTCTACCGATTCCTGCCGTTCCACCAACACCTGCCACCGACCGATATACGCCAGCCAACCTACCAGCAGCGCCCGCCAGCCACCACCAGGGCAGGCCAAGACCTGAGACGCCTGATCAGGAGCGCTTCTGCCTCCTAGGAGTGCCGCCCGTCTGCCAGCAGCACGTCCTCCAGACCCTCAATTCTCAACGAAGAAGATCGCCGACGACCCACGCTCACTTCACCACTTCCACTCCACACCACACACTTGACACACATACCATACCCCTATTTTTTTATAATCTGTAAATACTTTTTCTTGTAAATATATATATCTTATACCTACTGTTCTTCTATTTTTTTTTCTTTACTTTTTTTTCTATATATTTATTTTGTCGCTACACGACAGTGTGACGAGTCCATATAAAATGCATGAAAACTACGTGGTGGGGGCGTTTTGTGGTTGTGGTCGGCGGCGACACTTACGCCTGGACTCCATAATTTACACTGAACATTGGGTGGGCTGAACGGAGTTCGATGGCGCAAGTGGTTAGCGCGTTCGGCTGCGATAGTTGAACTTAAGCAACTTTCGCAGTGGTCGGTCATTGGATGGGTGATCAAAAATTACTATCTAGAGCTCCTCCGTGCTTCGGAAGGCACGTTAAGCCGTTGGTCCCGGCTGCATCTGCAGTCGTTAGCACCCACCAATCCGCACTGGGTCCGCGTGGTGGGTCATGGCCCAATCTTTCTATCCCATCCATAGGGAAGGCCTGTGCCCCAGCAGTGGGGACATTTATAGGCTGATGATAATGATGATTGGGTGGGCTGGCGTAATATGATTATTTTATAAACAAAGATACACAAGACATACAGGGAAAATATTATTAATTATTATTCAGTCAGTTACTAGCTTTTTCCCGCGGTTTCACTCGCTTTAATGTTGATTTTATGAACCAATTCTGATTGACGATCATTTAGATCCGCCGACTGGAATAGGTTAAATAATTGCAAAAAGAAAAAAATACCATACATTTAATAGGTTCTGTAATGTCCTGCCTGCAGAGAACTAAAGACTAAGATCTCCTAATGAATTTTTATTGTCCTCAGCGGATACAGGATCAGGATAGAGAATAAATAGAATTATGAACAACGACTCGGCAAAGTTTGAAGCAAATCAGACGGCTAAATAAAAAGTTTTACATAAAAGTTATTCTTCCTTCACCCTACCCACATAAGGTTTTCATAGAAAAAATAGCCTATAAGTGCTATAACCGTCTCCAAGGTACCATCTATCTGGATACCATAATAAAACTTATAATAATAATCGATTCAGTGGTTTAGGCGTTAAAGCGTTACAAACAAACAAACTCACTTTCGCATTTATAATATTAGTTAGGATTAGGATTTTGGCATAGGTTATTTTACAAACATTTTATTTCTCTTCTTATTAATGTGGCATTCGCTTGGGAATAAGTTGTGTTTTTTCTCAATACAAAAACAATTTGTTACAGATCATTACGACATTGATGTATCCGCAATGGGATTCAACCTTTTTGGAGCTGGCGATGCCAAGTAATTGTTACCTATTTTCTTTTTTTTTAGCCTTTCTCAATCTATTTTCTTATCGGAAAACTTTATAAGATATTTAAGACTACAGTAAAATAAGTCTACCTTTTCGTCGTGTTGTGTTTTTGTCGATAAGTAAGTTTCCAGAAATTCAATGGCGCGGGTGGTTAGCGCGTTCGGCTGCGATCGTTGAAGTTAAGCTACTTTCGCAGTGGTCGGTCATTGGATGGGTGACCAAAATAGAAGATTTTGGTCACCCATCCAATGCTCAATCTCGAGCTCCTCCGTGCTTCAGAATGCACGTTAAGCGGTTGGTCCCGGCTGCATCTGTAGTCGTTAGCACCCGCCAATCCGCACTGGGCGTGCGTGGTGGGTCTTGGCGCAATCGCCCTATTCCATCCATAGAGAAGGCCTGTGCCCCAGCAGTGGGGACATTAATAGGCTGATGATGATGAAGGTTCCAGGGCTCCATGGGGTAGGGGAATGAATGTAATGGGTCAGTGTAGGCAACGAAGCGAGTGATATTTTTAGTATCGCAAGCGGTGAAAGGTTATGACCGCTTACCATCGGTGCGGGCCATATGTTCATTTACCACTGTAAAAAGAAAACAATAATTTTATCGTTCCTTCTTCCAAACGCCGACTCTTGTGCAGTAGTAGTTAATTTACGTAATATTAAATATAATGTAAGAAATTATCTGAAGTTCGAGGGCGCGTGGTTTGCGTGGTTTGCGTGCTCGGTCTGCAGTCGTGGAAGTTAAGCTACTTTTGCTATCGCCACCAAAAAACTATTATCTCGAGCTCCTGCATGCTTCGGAAGGCACGTTAAGCTGTTGTTCCCGGCTGCATATGCAGTCGTTAGTACCCACCAATTAGTACTGGGCCGGCGTGGCGGGTTACGAAACATTCTTCCTATGCTATCCACAGGGAAGGCCTGTGCGCCAGCCCAGCAGTGGGGACATTAATAGGCTGCTGATAATGACGTATCAGGAGGTTGGTTCTAATGAAACACAGACGATCGTTTGGTGTAACAGCAAAGATCACGCATTCTGCATCAAGAGTCTTGTGTTCGAATCCCAGCGTTATTTGTGTCAAGACGTAGACTTAATTAGTTAAAGTAAAACCTGGACTAAAACTGATGCTGTCGCTTTTGTTTGCTAAAAAGAAGACATTGTTTAAACAACCAAGACTAACTATAGTCCGCGTTTTAGAATAAGGGGGCTAATGTTGGAAGATATTTAAGAACAGATCAGTCATGGACTGGCCATTCTACCTCATATACTGGCTAACTTTAAAATGTAACACTGTTGAACAACTTATATGTCGCAGAGTCAAACTCATCAATCCAGCACTGAGGATCGACATGTTGGTCGCGCTCCGAGTGAACATCATTCAAGGCATCAGCCTCAACCTGTTGGAGACCACGGCACAGTTCAATTTAGAGGCGTTTAGAGTGAGTATTTACCAATCTTTATCTTATTATTTTATTGTAAAGTGAAATTTAATGGTAATAACAAACTTCCTAAGATGCTTGTGTTTCATGCATGGCAAAGTGCCTAATATTTTAGAGATTTTTCAAATCTATTTAAAAATATTTTTAATTTTGATCTGAGCTTTCTTTTAAGCAATTAATTCTTCAAAAGCAGACATAAGAAAAAATAAACAAAGATTAAAGAATCATGAAACACCGCGACGGCGCGCCTTCAGTCTCCTAATTTATTGTTTGAAAAGTCAACGACCCACATTCTAAGCTAGTAAAAACTTAACTCTAGGTACAAACCTGAATTTTCTCCTAATAGTATGAAGGTATTATTCGAAAGGCAACTAAGTCAAGCAGTCACTGTTGCTTAAATTCACATTTATATCACAATATCAAAATAATATATTATATAATCATTCATACATCAGGCTTTTGATATAGTATCAAATGCTCTCTGTTCGCGACAATCTGAATTTGGTACCATATATTTATACCATTATATTATTATATATACCATGACTAGTAAGGTAATTCACACAGCCCGCAGCCTCCCCATGATTGCTCTGTATAATCGGCTTTGTTGGGTCACATTAAGGCCCATTTGTTCAGAATTCTTAATTTAAATTAAGGCTTAATGGTGTTTAGTACATCATTCCATCCTTGTCAATTGTTTTGAGTTAAATAGACATCTCTATTCATCCATCGTACGATACTTAAACATGATTAGCATTTAGAATTAAGAAATTAAGCAAGTGAGCCTAAGATGTAAGGCATAGCGAATTTCCTGCTAGAATTCACAGTGGCAGGAGATCACAGTGAAATAGCACAACTTTTTTTTGGTGTTATGTTATGTCTATAAGTAGGGGTTGAGTATATAAAAGGCTCACCACTTTACAAAATGGTTATTTCGGTGGATCACATATTCTATATAAAGCTAAACTTTTACATAACACAAAAAATAAAAGTTTAAATGCTTGTACGGCTTGTACGATTAAAATAATTAAACAAATATTTCCGTTCGCAGTCCGAGATTAATGGCATTTTCAACGACGACTACGTCAGCGCCTTCATCAATGTTTTTCTAGAGGACTTCGTTCCTTCAGCGCTGCAAACTTATGAGGTAAGTACGTTGTTATTTATTTATTCATAAAGATGTGAAAAGTGTGGAACACCGAAACACCTCCTTTGTTTTTCAAAGGTCTTAGCAGATATATAAACTCAGAAAGGGATCGTCACCGTATTACTTACCATATAACTCGAGCTGTTCAGTACCTATTCTTTGTTTGTATGAAACTCCGTAACGAGCACTAATCGCAATCATAACGTAATCGCTTCGCCTCGGGACAAGCTGGTATGCTCGTATTTCTTCCGAAGACGAAGCGAAGACGAACCATTTCCGAGTTGATATGTCTGCTAAGACTTGATATATCTGCTAAGACTTGATTTCAGCTTTCAATGTCAACACTGTATGCAACAAGGTCTCCCCCCGTAGATTTGCGTACCGATGGCGTAGCTTTCGACTTTCCCATGTGCTTGTAAAAGCCTAAACTGAATAAATGAATATTGAATTTGAATTTAGAATACTGAACGGGTCCTGTTGATACGGTGGCTATGCCTTATTGAAATAATCCACCTTTTTATAACACGTCCAAAGTTAAACCTGCACTAAAATTTATACTGTCACTTTCGTTTGCTAAAAAGAAGACAAAACATCATTGAGTTTAAACCAAGTCTTACTTTAGTCCGCGTTTTGGAATAATGTTTGCTACCATCTCAATCCACTAACGAAGTAGGTAGGATAATAATGGTATTTTTTATGATTCTAAAAAAATATGTAACCATAAACATATTTTTTTAGAACGATGATCTTGCACTTCATTAGCCGTTGCAGTAGATTCGATTGACGATAATAATGCTAATATAATTGCTCAGGGTCAATTCAGTAAAAGAATTAGAATTCTGGGGAACACAATAAAATGTTTACTAATTACTGATGTAGACGCTCCTCATTTAACTAAGATTTTACGAGATCCATCCATTACCTTGTGATTTCGTCTATACATAATTATAATACCGGCAAAGACTCAAATAGCTATCATTATTTTGGGGGTATCATATATTGTTGGTGAATGCGTTTCATTCATTTAAATTTTAAATAAAAAGATAATTTATCATAAATTAATATTTAAAGTTTGATAAACTGTCTTGTTATCTAATAAACAAATATGGAAATATCTATCTGTTTATTTAATAAACAAATATGAAATTTTGATAATTTTGTATCAAATGCATAAACATATCTATACATCACTATATATCACTATATACATATATATCACTTGGTCACAGAATACTTATATTGTTTTAGTTAGATGTTTCAAACAATCATCGCTATTATAAACCTCCAGAAATGTTTCACTCCATTTTAGATTTAATTTTGTAACTGAGGGATTTGTAGCTTTAAGTAGACTTAATCATTATTTTGTCCCTTCCTATTTTTCCTAAAATTCAATACTGGATGATCTACGCAAATATTTGTTCTATAAGTCATAACATTTGTTTTAGTAGGTATAAAATAGGTCATATAGAGTGGTGGTCATATAAATAGAAACACTTGTTATGAATAAAGAAAGTACAACTTTAACGTACAAACGTTCGTAAAAATATACACATTCAATAAAATTAACAATCATGCAATAATATAGCCACTCAAATAAAAAACTCATTTAATGCATAAAATATAAAAAATATCTTACTTTTTATTACCAGATGAGTCTTAGTCGTAGTTTATTTTCTGTAACTGGCCGCTTGGACGCCTAATTAGAAACATTTAAAAAAAGCATCCATAGATCGTTCTTTTTTTGAAATTGGTTCTGATTTCTAGTCATAAACTACGTATATATTAGAAATGTTTATTACTAGCTGTGGCCCGCGGTGTTACCGGCGGTTTATTAGGGATATTTTCCCGCAGTTAAACGTAACCTATGTGTTAATCCAGAGTGTCAGCTAACACCATATCAAATTTTATTAATATCGCTCCAGCCGTTTGGACGCGAAGAAGTAACAAACATACAATCTCACAAACTTTGGCCTTTATAATTAGTGTGATTATTTTAATAATAATTTCCATTTATTTCCAGGTTGAAATCAATGAATTCATAAGCGAAATTGTGCACGACATTGTCAGTGACATTTTCGATAATCTGGACTTGTAAAGAAAGACAAGAAAACAAAATGAAAACTTAATGTAAATTGATTTTGATAATAAAGTTATATTAAATTATTCTGGTTTAGCTAGCCTACCTTTCTACTCCTACTTAATATACACTCGCGAACAATTAATTCCAAATTCGTCTTTGAAATCTGTTTCGATATCATCGTAGAGCGATTCTGTTAAATAAAATCTCACACTCGATTTGGATATATGCCATTTTAGACATAAAAAATTTGATATGCATTAAGTGTCGCCGCACACGGGCCACCGACCACAACCACAAAACGCCACCACCGGTATATTTCTTGTAGTTTTCATACATTTTAAATGGACTCGCCACACACGGTACTCCGGTGGCCGCCACACGCTATAAATCGTCGTTACTCGCTTCTTGTGGCCCGCACCGGCCACTTAATGCGCCGATACAAAACGCCGCCACACTTCACTCGCGCGATTCCCCACCCCTCTCTCCCTTACCTTAGTCGGCCGCTGTCGCGCGCTTCAGCCACTTTAGTAGCCGCTTCTAGCTTCTCGTGGCGGCGTTTGTGGTTGGGGCGTGTGACTCGTGTGCGGCGACACTAAGCCATTACTTGGCAAAATGTCGCTATGTCTGTATATGCAGCCAGTAATAGATATTTGACATTTGTCAGAAATCCGAATAAAAGAAATCGTAAGTGAGATTGCATCTAACAGAATTCCTATGCTAATAGAAATTAAGTCAATTCCAGTAGATCTTTCCTTTTTGCTTTATTGATAGTAGCTGCAAAATTTACAACAATATTAACCTTCTATAATATAAAAATGAATCGCTAAATGTGTTGCTAAGCGTAAATCTCGAGAACAGCTGAACCGATTTCTATAATTAATTTTTTAGAATATTCCTTGAAGTACGAGGATGGTTCTTACGCAGAGAAAAAATAAAAAATTGCCTGAAAATGACCAAAAACAACACTTTTTCATTACTCCCATACAAACGATTCGTAATAATTCTTAAAAGTCAATTTGAACTTTAATACCATACCATAAATTTCAAATGTTATTGGAAAGGTTCCGGGAAGGCAAAACAATTGAACGACGTGATGTCAATAGACGTTTGGAAAAGGCAAGTATACCATTTTCAGTTTCTGTTTTATAATTAATTATATGAAGAGTCATTGAAATCTACACTACAGCTCTACACCGAAGCGAAGCGAGGGCGGGCCACTAGTTTTAGATAAAGCTTAAATCAGTTTAGGATATCACCAAGGTTTCAATGTGTCGCCTATTCGAGAGGTCCGAAACTCGGTGGGGGCAGATGTTTGAGTGATGAATACGAGCCTTTGTACTCCAGTCGTGGAGGTTTAAAGTGCATTTCTATATAAATATACTTATACATGTATCAGTATATGTATTCTATCCGTTACCCTAGTATCCCATAACACAAGCCGTACAGTGCTTACTTTGGAGCTAGGAATTAGCCTAGCCCCGAAGTAAGATTAATAGTCTTTAATCTTAATCGTAATGTAAGGTTAATAGATAATTAAAACAATTAATTAATATTTTTAACACTCACACCAATTATCGTGTGTATGTTTTTTAAAGATGGCCTGTGTTCAGCAGTGAAAACAAAAGAAGGAAGAAAGCCGACGGTACCTAACGATGAAATATTACAGTCATTTAAAATTATTAGATTATAAACGTGATGTGAATAACAGCTCTCCTCACATTTTGTTTTCTCGCACGAAAACGTAAAACACCGACGTAAGTGCTCTTTTATGTGAAGTGTTGATACTTAATACCTCAGTAAAACTTGAGGTTATTAAGGTAGACATTCAACTTTGATACGTCAGATGCGAACAGCGTAAAATTAGATTGGATAAATGTTGATTGCTTCGATATAATAACATAACTGCCGTATAGAGATAAAGGGGACTTTATACAAAGGATTATTGATATAAGGACTTTATACAAAGGACTATTAGTCTAAAATCCACACATTATTTGAACAACGATGGTCCTTTGTGCCTATAGTTGTAAAACAGCTGTTGTTATCGGATAATTATCCAAACTAGCCGATAATAACGTTTCGACGGCGGTTGACAACCGCCTTTTTATCCGACTCAATACAAAAAGGTGTTATAAGTTTTGCAATTGCTGAGTCGAATTTGTAATAATAGACAAGCTGCTATATATAATGCGATTCAAATAAAAAGAGGAAAGCCAATGACCTCTATCTGTCAAATGTCGCTTGAAAAGTACGGCATGCAAAAAAAAAACTTGGAATCCTTTTTTAGCACTCCGCTAATTCAAGAATAAAAACCAAACATTTTAGAACAAACAATTACAAATATTGATAATTAATATCGGTTGATATTTTTTTTTCACTTATTGTGCTTTGGCCATGAATGGTTGATAACCTAAATCGTCCACCAAATGTCACTTTAAGTTGCATTCAGAATATTAATAATTACATAAAGGATGCATGTTCGTATTTGACCTAGTAATAGTGCATGATTATTCATAACTACTCCGGCGGTAATGCAGAGATAAGCGGAATAGAAGAGCTACATTCTGATTATCATCATCAACCTATTAATGTCCCCACTGCTGGGGCACAGGCCTTCCCTATGGATGGAATAGGGAGATTGGGCCATAACCCTCAACGCGGGCCCAGTGCAGATTGGTGGGCGCAAACGATTACAGATGCAGCCGGGACCAACGGCTTAACGTGCCTTCCGAAGCACGGAGGAGCTGGAGATAGTAAATTTTTGGTCACCCATCCAATGACCGACCACTGCGAAAGTTGCTTAACTTCAACGATCGCAGCCGAACGCGCTAACCACTTGCGCCATCGAGCTCCTCCAAAAATAGGTATTATTACTAAATTAACACCTACCTACTTTGTCATGGTGTAACACATAAAATGTGCAATATTATAAATTATTTTGCAACTTTCTTCAATACGACAGATAATAAACGAATATATTAATTAGTAATTGATCTGTAGATTTACCTACCAAAAAATAGCTACCTTTTTTAATGAATAAAAATGCCATTTTTGTTTTTACCTTACTCGTAAGACGTATCAAAAACGGGGTTTCGGTTGGTACCTACCTATTATGTGATCAGCCAGATGAAACATTAAATTAAAAAGTTATGTATTTCAAAATAAAATTTTACAGAATAGCACTGCTGTTCAACAGGTCACCAGGCCCAAGCTATTATACATAAACCAAAACGTGTATTGCTAATCTTAAAGAAAAATTGGTACCTACTCCAAATAGGGTATGTGACAGTATTAAAAATAATGTGCAAATTGTTAGCATCTGTTGTGTGTTTAGATTGAATATTGGCATTTACTATTTTTACAAAAATAAATATTCTTAATTTTACTAAAAACCCTCGAAAAAGGTATTAGTTTTCTTATCTATTGTCACGTGACCCGAAACGCTAGGGATTGGCGGAGCCTAAAATGACGTCACACGCAAGTAAACTTCCGGTTAAAGTGACATTACATTGTATCGTTTGAAGTTTTAATAACAGTCGTGTGTCGTCACACTCTAGTAAGACGCCATATTGTCCAGAGAAACGTTTTCGCAGCAACTTGAAAATGGAGTTTTTGAGTTGGTTATTTTTACACAACAGATTGATGAATATCCATTTTTTACGAACTCCATAAACATTAGTCAATAACGTGAGGTCGTTTTCTAAAACTTGTCAAATACCCTATTTGAAAAATACATTGTCAGAGAGAAGAAAGAATATTATAATCTAACAGTCACTGTAAGTACTCTGCAGACTGTTATAATAAAATTATAAGTAAGGTGCAATAGTTTATGAACTATTGCTCCTTACTTATAATACTAACAGTCACTGTAAGTACTCTGCAGACTGTTATAATAAAATTATAAGTAAGGTGCAATAGTTTATGAACGTATTATAATAAAATATTCATTATACCTTTGTGAAATCAAACAAAGCTAAACTAGACCTTAAAATCAATGTCTGACGCCCTCGGATAAATTTTTAATCTATTTTCTATCCCTTCGTACGGCCGCGGCTCAGGTATGGTGGGAGATAATTGTGATGATGATAAACCGTAAAATAAAAATGTAAGATTAAGCACGAACGCTCATTTTACAAGCATGATGAAATCCCTTTCTTATATAAAAGGCTATCAATACAAAAACACCGCAATAAGTTCAGTCACCCGCGAATGAATTGTGGAGCAACGAAACAATAAATTACAATCATCCTTTTTTTTAAAGAAGCAGTTTATTTCATTTGTATGAAAAATACGTTTCATAACTTAAAAATATGTATGTCAAATATAAAAAAAATGGTAGGTACTCTTTTTAAAGTTTCAAACTCATTAACACCAAGGTTTAAGGGTACACCAACATTGTATTTAAGGGATTGGTTCGTGAGCATTTTCTTAATATAATTAATCTGCGTTCTCATATTTGACTGGCATAATTATGTGTATGTTTATGTATGTATTGTATATATATTTTAATATTTGTGTATTCTATTGATAAATATATTTCCTACCTTGTGTATTTTTATTTCTCACACTTTTACTGGTCGACTGGTAGAGAATGCCTTATGGCATTATGTCCGCCATTTGCTGTATGTTTTGCAATAAAGTATAAATAAATAAATAACACGATTTACGTGAATAAGTAAAAGGTTATTTTATTAATGTTACTCAATATTACGTCTTAAGCAGGTATTTACGTCTCTGTCTGTAAATAAAATAGTGACACAAAGTAACATAAATAGTAATACAATGAAAAACACGTCTTTAGTCATACTTCTTTAGATTCAAACCAAAAGTGAAGATACATTACGCTCATATAAGCAGCAAATATAATATATTCCGACTCAACTACATAAGCAACTCTCGCACACGCACACTTCCGTAAATAAACATTCAATCGAGCGAGCGGCAGAATTGTACGCTTCAACGCAGCGCGAGCGAAACGGCGCGAGTCCGGGTGGCGTCGATTTGCAGCCGATAGCGTTTTCTTTTCTCTCTCTACAGACGGCTGAGT